ACATATCGCGAAGTAAATAACACCACACCCCAATTTTACACTTATAAATTGTTTAAATAATAAAGCACTGTTTCTATGTCACGTTTTTTTTTCTATTTATTTGAATAAAAACGTTACATACTTTTTGTTTACTATATACTAGCCGTTGCCCCGCGACTTCGTGTCCGAGGATTCGCAGTTGGCATATCGGTTTCAGGTGTCGCCATCTTTGAGGTAAACGATTCGATTCTTACAAAGCGATTCCATAAAAATCGGAGCCCGAATTCGAATTTTCGAATTCGAAACCCATGTGTCCAATTCAAATCATTAAATATAGCAAGTTTATTGATTCCATTTTTTTTCTAAAAATACAAAACAAGATTGATTGATTGTACGTGTCTCAGATATTCTATGAATCTCACTTCACTTATGCTATGAAAGGTTAATACCTTCGAAGTGAATTTGGAGTCCTGAATGAATTCGAGTCGGGTTCAGATTTTTACAGAATCACAGTGGTCTGTGGATACTTTGGATATTTAAGTACCTTATTCGTTGTTTCATCATCACCATCATCATCACCGGTCTTATGGGACTCAGTCCTTCACTATGGATGGAATCGAATCAAATCGAAATATGGAGAATGAGCCATGAGCCATGGGCCCACGTGGCGGGGGCCCAATGCGGATTAACTTCTGCAGATGCAGGCGGAACCAACGGCCTAACGTGCCTTTCGAAGCACGAGAAAAAAAATTTTTGGTCACCCGTTCTATGACAGTCGCTTAAAAACGGTATCGCATACCGTGTGCGCTAACAACTGCGCCATCGAACTCGCCAGAGAAGTTCGTTGTTTCAGATACTCCAAAATACTAATTATATAGCTACTCACCTGCGCAATGTAGTCACCTGAACGATATTGTACATATTTATTAAGTATAGGTATTACTTATTTTTGAAAAGCGGCATGTACTTTCCAGATAATCGATAGAAAATCACTTTGTGAAAACTTCGAATAAAGATACCAATTACTACATTTTGTATCGAAAATAAGCAATGTAACAAACGTCTATTATATCAACAGAAACCTATTCTGGTTTCGATTACATTTTTTTTAAATATATCATTGCTTACTTTTTCCAGAGTTTATTTAATGTCATATATACATAGTATAAAATAGTCGTTAATAGAAGGTCATTAAATTACACAACAGGTTTCAAAGCGATTTTCATCGATATACATCGTGATTCGATTTGTTAGACAGGACCACGCGGGCGAAGCCAGTTTGTAATAAATAAAAAACATTAATCTATATACATAGTATTTAAATAATTACAATAAAGAAATGTTTATATACTTAAATTGAAATGAATTAACAATTAAACGAAACACGAAATTTAGAAAGAGTCATTATGCTCTCTCAAAGGTAATAACGAGATAATTTAGAATATTCTTATAAAAATTGCAAACAATATAAACATACTCGTAAAAATAACAAAATTAATACCTTACGGGAGCAATAAATACGCATTGGCTGGCGCGGCGCCAACCGAACACACGTGATCAAAGACAAGTTCAAGTTTATCTGTGTTTTTTAAGCGTGCTGAAACACGATTAATTTATTTGAGTAGGTTAAGTTTGTGCTTTTAGAAATAGCGATTTCGCTTAGTAAATTATAGCGTACGTTATCCGCGTATGATGTAGTTCCCGTAGGTGAAAGAAGTTTCATTATCGGATCAGTGACGTAATTGTCTAATTTTATAATCAATCCCAATCCAAGAGGTGTAACTTAGTCATAATCGCTTTTGGGACGAATGATAATTTGTGTAATATGAATGTCATAGACATTTAATTTTGTTTGATATTTTCCAATAGCTTTATTGCGCTCAATAAGTGATGTTCCCTGGTTCGTCACCAATACCGAAATACATAAAGATCTGATTATAGACACCGTTCAGAATGAAATTCAAAAGCACAAAGAAAGATATCGAGACCATTTAGAAAGACATCCCAATAACCTCGCTGCAGCACTGAAGATAAAATCTTACTCGAAACGTCTGAATAGAAAAGACATATTAACGTCTCTCCATCCTTAAGAGACTTAAATAGTAAATAAGAGTAGACGGCTCACTGGAGTCACGCTCCCACAGAGAAAGATACAGAACAAATTTGCTAAAAGTCTAATAAGATGATTGCAGATGAAAATAAAACAAGAAAAAAATCTCGAATTATTTCGATTTCGAAATTAGGTCATAGTCAAAACGGCTTCACGTGAAGCATGAGATTTGGATGATTGACCAAAAATTTTGGTCACTCATCCAATGAGCAGACCTTGTGAAAATTATTGAACTACCATATTGGGAACCAAAAGCGTTAACCATTGCACGGTCGAGCTCCTTAGAGGTAAAGTTACAGAACCGAAATCACACTCCTCACACTAGCATATAATAGGCACCTATCTTATGGACTGATCCATATTAGAGTAACACCTAGTATACCGTTGGGCTTTGCGACCGGCAGACAGGATCCTAAATCACACATTTTATATCACCCCCAACTATATTTGCAACATTATACCTTTACTGTAGCTGCCTTGTTTGAACATGTTTTATTGTACCACTATACTAATCATTGCGCAAAAAAATATCGTCAAGCATTTTAAGAAAAATATAGATGGAATTTTTAATAAGTTTGACAAAAAAAACAAGTTGTATTATGGCTTGTCTAAAAAACCTAAATCTAACGCTAAAAGTCCACAAATGTTTCACAGAATGGTCCCCCGATTGCAACGAAAATTTTGTCTCTATCTAACTTTCTAAGTAGCTCGGTGTATAAGCGCCGCGGCCCGCGATCGTTGTTGTAAAGCAATTTTCGCAAGGGTCGGTCACGGGATGGGTGACCAAAAAATTATTATCTCGAGCTACTTCGTGCTTCGGAAGGCACGTTAAGACGTTGGTCCCGGCTGCATTTGCAGTCGTTAATACCCTCCAATCCGCATTGGGCCAGCGTGGAGGGTCATGGCCCAACCTCCTTAACCATCCAAAAGGAGGGTCTGAGCCCCTGCAGTGGGGACGTAAAAAGGCTGATGATGATGATGATGATCTAATTTGTAGGAATGGATATGGAAAAAGCTTGTGAACGCGAAAATTCATTAAAATAATGAGTAGTTTTATTGTTAGACATTCCCTTTAAATGTCAGACATATTTAGTATTGTGACATATTTGTCTGCATGTTGCTCAGACAATCACTTAGTTTATTGGTCCGCGTGTCACATTGAAGCCCATTACTACGTTTAGAACTCTGAAAGATTTCGCTAAGGTGGCCGAAAATAACACATCCATTATTAAAGCCGTGTAAAGAACCATTTTCGTATCTTTCATCTTACGTGTCAATAGCATATTGAGCTGCTAGCAAATGAATCAGATCTGAAGGCTACTGAAAAAAATATTTTTATGGGACCGCTTCAGACGCAATTTTGAAATCTCTTAAACACTTTTTAAAATAATAAAACTATTTAGTTTTAGAATGTTTAATATAAAATGTGAATCTATATTTTTTTAAGTTAACATAAAACTAATAAAGTTACTAGTAATTTTATGGGGATTAGTACCCCAATGAAACAAAGCACCTGCTTTTTTTGAAGTCCATTTAAAATTGCTGCTTCTGAACCTATTTCAGCAAGAATTTCTGTGTTATCCAACATGAAGTACATATTTTTATTTTTATGTATTCATTACGTATAATACCTGGTAATCAAAATATGGTTTAACATTTAGATTGCCCACCAAATATTGCTCTTTAGCGTCTACAAATGCCAAGTATTGTCCTTCTACGAACCCAGTCGCCTGTGGCCGTTCCTCGTTGTGGTAAATTTTTATTAGGCCATTTCGTTAGGCCCAACACACATGATAACCGGATACATTTTCGTAGCCTCCACGAATCACATAAACTCGCTGAAGTGCGTCATATATTATTAGAGACCGTATATCTGAGCTTATAGTATAAAAACGATGTTAGTTCCGCTTCTTTATTTACTCAAGAATAAGGTATAGAATCATGTAAATTGAACAACCAATATAGATCGACTTTCGTAATTTTGTTTACGTAGTAGACCACAAGACATGTCTGTCTGTGGTCTGCAATCTAGCCCAGGCGTACGGCGTAAAGATATTAGACAGATTTCAAAGAGTCACTGAAAATTTTCGTTTTGAATATTATTCATATGAAATTAGATTTTATAAAAAAAACTGATTATTTTTCTATCTCCGAGTCATAATCAGTATTTCTCAAATGTATTATAGTTTGGGTACTCAACCATAGAAACAAATAGTAACATTATTATTTTTATAAGCGAATTGGAGCTTGAGAGTTGCAACCTTACATCGAAAAATCTAAAATGGGGAATTCCCTAGACGGGCATGCCAGCAGGCATGGCAGCAGGAAAATCCGCAGACATGCCTGACAGACCTTCTTTTTATATTAACTTGTTCATTAAATCTAATACCTTAAAATGCTCATAAAAATATGGGTTAACGATTAGAATAACCACCAAATATTGTTACGTAGCCGGTCGCCCGTGGAGGATTTAAGAATATTTATAGAATGCCAATTCCAATTTCCATGTCAATTTTCTTAGACAATTGGTTTAATCGTTCATTATTCTCTTCACCTCATCGCTTAATGACCTTTTAAAGACACTATAATAGCCTTAAATTAATTAATGTACCCAAAACTAAGGCAATATTTTTCTCATATAATTATTAGTCGTTATCTCTTCGCATCCGTTAAAACTTATGGTGTGACACTTCAGTTTGAGCCAAACAGTGTGAAACAGTACTAAAACAAATGTTCAGATCAGTTTATTAGGAGGAAAGAGACAAAAAATCTCTGAATATAGCCCAGCTTAATTTCTTGGCGGACACAAGCGAACTAATTACTGTGTTAGACATAACATTAGAGCGGCGCTGACCTATATCTGGGCGTAATAGTGCAAGTGAGATAGAAGAGCCGGTGGCAATCTTCCAAGATGAATTTGATGTTTCGGAAGAACTTCAGTGGGGAGAAGAGCATCAGTAGCAGCGGGGGTGGGGGGAAGGCGCGAGGGGCACTCGGTGCAGGAAGGAATGCCAAACGGCGCGAACGCGACCGGTACTCCTTCATGGAGGATAATCACTACAAGACGCTCAAAACGCATCTGTTCCTATCAGCGGCGCCTCGATCGAGCACTCAGTACAACGATGGCACAGGTATAGTGACAGTGTTGTAGGGGGGAACCGTAGAAACGGGTCACCGAAACTTTGTTGTCAAACTATTGACAGCTGAAATTTAATTTTTTAATGTTTTTAATGGAATTGTCGAATGTATTACATCGAATATGCTAGACGTTGCAAGAACATTTCAATTTAACCTTCGCTCGTTAGTTCGGAGTAGCTAACAGGTGTGACGGACGTCGTCAAAAGTTATAAATACGTTACATGACAGTCAGCTGACATCTCGTGCACGTACAAAATTTATTAACACTGCTAAATAATGTGGTTCTAATTTATTAAAAGTAGGTAAAACAGAACAAAGGTGGTCAGAACTAGATGTAAACCGGTTCGAACTGCAATAACATATTTGACGTTTAACTGTCAAATACTTCTATTTCAGTGAAGCAGACAGGAAACGTAAACACACCACGCTCGTTGATACGTAAATATGTTTTTATATTGGAGTTTAAAATTTCGGGTGCAACTTTGATCTTTTTTGTCGCTGTTTGAACTTTATATGGAAATCTATTTACAAGCGACATAACATTTCTGACTGGTGTAATTAATAAAACTATTAGTTTTCTATCTTTTCAGGAAGTCGATAAAACTACTCGTGGCTGTAAACAGGACTCGGCCACCGGTCCTTTTTATTTTCATTTCCTCCCTATTGCATAAATGACTATCGATATAGAATTGGCAGAATCATACGAAAAGCACAGTTAAGCATTGGAGAATAAAGAAAAAAATATTTTAATTTCTTATTTTTAACTGTTAAATGGAATTCTACATATCTCAGTGAAAAATGTTTCAGCTACATAAGTAATTAAAAGCTGAGAACTTATGTATTAAAGATAGAGTAAATTACAAGCTTAAACTAAATTTGGTGGCATCGTTAATCCATTAAAGTCGTATAAAAGGTTGAGGCGGTGGTGATGTAACTCCAAATAAATTATGTTAGATTTTTAAAGTTTTTATTCACCACTCACATGTGTAAAAAGTAATAAAATATAAGCACAAAAGTACAGACAATGCTATAGAATAAAGAAGGCGAACGTGAGCAAAAAAGAAATATGAAACTATTTCAGGTTGACATCTAATATGAACAATAAATTTGAATTAAAACAACGCGTGCTACATGCATCTCAATAATAATAATCTGTGGACGCGACTCTCGTATTTCGCGGGCTACCTCACGCATGCGCGAGCCGCGACGCCTCGCCGCGCGGTCTCACGCCTGCGCAGTAACCGTGTCTCGAGCTAGTGCGAGCGCCAAAATTATATACAAAGAAACTAGATGTGTTTGTCCTTGTGTAACACAAATTCGAACAAATACATTAAATATTATTTCTTAAATTTAACATGTTAAACAATTTTATATATTGTGTTATTGAGTATTTGTACATATAATTTAATTAAATATAATATTTTTTTATAATGTTTACTTTAACAGATATTTTATCTTATGCATATACATTTATTTATATGTAGGTACACTACATCACCCCCTTCCAGAGACCGTCCTACGGGCGATAATAATCTGGAAATTGAACACGACGACCTGATTTAGTAATTTTAGGAATGTTATCAGTGACAGGTAAGTCATCAGCATCACATATTTTATGTGTAGACGAATGAGAGTGATTGTGTGAGTATGAGTTGTTTGAGATATGAGGTGTAAGTGTTGTGGTATCTGGATCACGCAGTATGTATGCCGGTTTTAATCTGTCAATTGAGACAGTCACTGGTTTACCACTTATTGCAATTTTAAAAACTTTGTCACCTCGTGTTAGGACTTCGTGAGGTCCGGTATATGCTGGTTTAAAAGAGCCAGCCCCTGCGTCATCGCGAAGGAAGACATGAGAAGCAGTGGTCAAGTCTTTGAATATGAATGGAGAGCGTGAACGACCATGACGCGAAGCTGGAGACGGTTGCAAGTTTTTAGTGAACATGTGAAGACGTCCTACGTAATCTGTCATGTCGATTGTGTTATCTGTACCTGGTTGAAAAAAATCTCCTGGCAGACGTAGTGGTTCTCCATATAGCAATTCAGCAGAAGATGACTTTAAATCTTCTTTATAGGTGCTACGGATACCTAATAAGACAAGAGGAAGAGACTCTACCCAACTGCTGCCAGTGTGGCAGGTTATTGCAGCTTTAAGTTGCCTGTGAAACCTTTCCACTAACCCGTTGCACGACGGATGATAGGCAGTGGTACGCTTATGTTGGAAGCCGGCAATATCAGATAGGTGCTTGAACAATGCCGATTCGAATTGTCTCCCGCGATCTGTAACAATCTGTGTTGGACAGCCGAAGCGAGAAATCCATCCACTTAAAAGAGACCTTGCTACAGTTTCCGCTGTAATGTCGGATAATGGTATTGCCTCAGGCCATCGTGTAAAACGATCAATGGCGGTGAGACAATACCTAAATCCATGCGAAATGGGTAATGGTCCTATTAAGTCTATGTGTATGTGCTTGAATCTAGCGGAAGGCAGCACAAAGTTTCCAATAGGCGATGAAACATGTCGAGTAACTTTGGACCGTTGACAAGCCATACAAGAACGAACCCAATTTTTGCAGTCTCTACGAATTCCTGGCCATACAAAACGATCAGATACTAATTTGACAGTAGATCTCGTACCTGGGTGACTAAGCGAATGTAGGCTCTCAAACACATGGCGACGTAAATCTTTTACAACAAATGGACGTTTAGTATCACCTCTTACATCGCAAAATAATTCAAGATCAGTTCCAGGCAGTTTCACTTTTTCAAGGCGCATAGATGTATCGGAGTTTAAAAATGATTTTAATTCGTCATCTGAACTTTGCATGATGGCTAGCTTTTCTATGTCAACAGGTTTTACTATTTCCTCAACGCGCGAAAGAGTATCAGCTACTACGTTGTTTTTGCCAGCAATATGCCTTATATCGGTGCAAAATTGAGATATAAAATCTAAGTGGCGGAACTGTCTGGGCGAACAATTAGCTTTATGGGAATGAAATGCAAATGTAAGGGGTTTGTGATCTGTGTATATCACAAAATCGCGAGCCTCTAACATATGCCGAAAGTGCTTGATAGCCTCATATATGGCCAATAACTCCCGGTCGTATGGAGAGTATTTGGTCTGAGATGGGGACAACTTACGGGAAAAGAATCCCAGTGGCTGCCAGACGTCATCTTTGGACTGTTGTAAAACGGCTCCGATAGCAGTGTCTGATGCGTCCGTGACTAAGGCCAATTTTTCCTTACAATCAGGATGCACCAGCATAGCAGCTCGACAAAGATCTTCTTTACACTCTTCAAAAGCTTCCAGTTCGTGGGCAGATAAATTTACAGGGTGAGAACCTTTTACCGAGCCAACCAGAAGAGCGTTCAACGGTGCTTGATGTTGAGCAGCTTGTGGAATAAACCTGCGATAAAAATTCACCATACCGAGGAATCTACGTAATTCCCGAACTGTTTTTGGAGCGGGAAAGTTCCTAATAGCCGTAACCTTTTCTGAAGGTGGTTTGACGCCCTCAGCCGAAACATGATAGCCTAGAAACGTGACTTCAGATGCTCCAAATGTACATTTTGCAGTATTAATAACCATGCCATACTCGTTTAATCTGCCAAATATTTGATTAAGATGATCTTCATGAGTTTTCTGATCGACAGAAAAGACCAAAATATCATCAATATACGGATAAACGAAATCTAAGCCCCGCAGCACTTCGTCGACGAACCGTTGAAACGTTTGTCCGGCGTTACGAAGTCCGAACGTCATGTACGGGAACTCGTATAGGCCGAACGGCGTCGTGATTGCAGTTTTCGGTACGTCGCTGGGATTAATCGGGACCTGGTTATAGGCCTTCACAAGGTCAATGGTGGAAAATACAGTGCAGCCAGAAAGATTATAGTCAAAGTCCTGTATATGACGTATAGAGTACCTGTCGGGAATCGTTCTCGCATTCAGCATCCGGTAGTCTCCACAGGGACGCCAGCCGTCATCCTTTTTCGGTGCTAGATGTAGAGGAGATGACCATGGAGACTCTGATGGTCGACAGGTACCAATCTGTAACATGGCCTCAAATTCGGCCTTAGCAATTTTAAGCCGATCAGGTGCTAATCGACGTGGTGAGCAAGATACAGGTGGTCCAGGTGTTGTGCGTATGTGATGTACAGTGTTATGTTTTACTGAAGCATGTAAGCCAGAAGGACGAGTAATGTTGGGATATTCAGCTAGTATGCGATGATAAACAGTGTCACCAGACATTACTTTCACAGAAAAAATATCAAAATTTTTGGCAAGCAAAGCCGAGGTACTAAGCGTAGTATTAGCATCTATTAGGCGTTGATTACGCACATCTACAACTAAATTATAATAAGATAAAAAATCAACACCTATTATCGCTCGTGTTACGTCTGCGACAATAAATCGCCAAGCATAGTCACGGCGCAAGCCAATATTTAAAACAAAATGGGCATACCCGTATGTATGAATCGTTGAACCGTTAGCGGCGCATAATTCATAATTGGTTTTGTGACGATGCTTGCTGATTAATTTTTTGGGGAAAACACAAATGTCGCTACCTGTATCAACTAAAAATTGTATTTTAGTACGACTGTCTGTTACAAATAAGCGACCGGAGTTTGGACAGGCGTCGGTCGCCATTACGATCTGCCCTACACTTTTCCCGAATAATCACAAGGTTTCACGCACTTAGTAGCCTTATCACTGAATTTAGAATGATACCAACACACAGGAAATTTTTTATAGTTGGATTGTGACCGTTGGTGATGTGAATTTTCACGGGAACGATCGTTAGAAGTTAATCTTCGTCGTTGTCGCGACATCCTTTCTACTTTCTTGTTCAAGAATTGTATCTGTCGTGTGAGCTCGGCAATTTGGTTGGACGTATCGGTAGAACTTCCAGGTGTCACCGACGCTGCTACTACTTGTGGGCTTGGTGGGACGATGTCATGGATTTTATCTGCCAGCTCCGCGACTTCCTCCAGGGATGCTTTCACTTGAGATGCTATTATTGACTGCGTACTACTCGGCAGGCGGCTGGTCCAAATTGTCTTTAGAAATTCCTCAGGAATCTCTGGCCCTGCGAGGTGTTGAAGGTGACGCAGGAACTGTGACGGTTTCCTGTCACCCAGCTCTTCGTGTATAAGTAATTGTTTCACCTTCTTTTCCCTCGATGCAGACAGACGTTTAATGAGCTCCGCCTTTAACCGCTCGTATTTGTTCGGTGATGGTGGTGCTGATATTATGTCTTCAACTTCCGATGCGTAGACAGGGTCCAATTGACTGATGGCGTAGTGGAATTTAGTGGCATCCGTGGTTATATTTGCCAGATAAAATTGGCTCTCTAGCTGTGCGAACCATAACGCCGGCTTCTCTGGATAAAATGGCGGAACCCGTACACCAACACGATGAACATCACTCGGCGGATTTGATGCTTCGCTTTGCTCCGATGTCTTCGTAGGCTCACTCATGATGTGCTCACGTCGGGGTCACCAGTGAGGCGGTGGTGATGTAACTCCAAATAAATTATGTTAGATTTTTAAAGTTTTTATTCACCACTCACATGTGTAAAAAGTAATAAAATATAAGCACAAAAGTACAGGCAATGCTATAGAATAAAGAAGGCGAACGTGAGCAAAAAAGAAATATGAAACTATTTCAGGTTGACATCTAATATGAACAATAAATTTGAATTAAAACAACGCGTGCTACATGCATCTCAATAATAATAATCTGTGGACGCGACTCTCGTATTTCGCGGGCTACCTCACGCATGCGCGAGCCGCGACGCCTCGCCGCGCGGTCTCACGCCTGCGCAGTAACCGTGTCTCGAGCTAGTGCGAGCGCCAAAATTATATACAAAGAAACTAGATGTGTTTGTCCTTGTGTAACACAAATTCGAACAAATACATTAAATATTATTTCTTAAATTTAACATGTTAAACAATTTTATATATTGTGTTATTGAGTATTTGTACATATAATTTAATTAAATATAATATTTTTTTATAATGTTTACTTTAACAGATATTTTATCTTATGCATATACATTTATTTATATGTAGGTACACTACAAGGTCATAGAAATTTTGTCTATCGGCCGATATAATACTTGCATCGACGGGTAACATGTAGTCCTAATTAACAAAATACATTTAGAAAGCTTTATTCTGGAAAACGCCTGCAGATAATAATGAAGACTGCCAATACAGCCAGGTTCAAAGACTTTCAAAGCACTCCTCTTGAGTTAATAAATTCTTGATCGCCCCTCCAATGACTCGCCAGCGTTGCTTAACTTACAGAATTGCAAACCGAATACTATTTCTTTTTATTTTTGTGTCATTAGAAAGATGTGGGCCCGTGCTGGGCGGTGGGACCGGGCCGGAACCGGAGCCGCCGCAACCTCTGATCACACGCGAGCCATCGGTCTCGCTCATGCGATGGGACCGGCCCACCAGCAATGCCACTGTCGACCGCCGCCGAACAGAGCCTGTATCACTGGCGACTCTAGAGAGAGATTGTTTCGTGATACCGGCCCATGCGCTTGATCGCTTTCTGCCTGACGGCGTGCCGGTAAGTCTATTCATATGTATCTAAAAACATACAGATGAACATCTAACAGAGGAAAACAAATGCTTGACACGTGAAAGACACTTCAATAATTAGGAAAATAACCAAATATGGAATAGTATACTATACATAGAATACTATAATTATCTTAATTTCTAAATTAATATTTTTTACAGAAATTTTAATACACTTTGAAACAAGCCAAGTGGGTCCGTAAACTGATCACGAATTTCCTGGACTTATTGACAATATACGATTTTTACCGTTTTAAGAATAATTTAAAAAGGAATTTCAGCGTTTTTTTTATAATTTCATTGCCTAATAAAAATAAGTAGACTAATGGAAAATTTAATGTTAAAGATTCATTATCTTTCAATCAGCAAATATATTCCATATTCGGTTGCAGTTTTGCAATGTCTGTTTGGTTTTCACATAATTTTCTCTGTTGGATAGGATTTTTTTTGCGAAGGCTATTCAATTTATTTAGCCTGGGTGTGGTAAATTTTGTGAAATTACAATACAGGTACTAGCTATCTATCTATATTTGTATATTTAGTTCGTATAAGAAATAGAAACACATTTTTATATGAAAATAGTTCAATTCTTGGAATTAGCTCTTGGATAATTAGATAATTGTGATTTCACATACATAAAGGCCAAAGTACCTTATAATTATTTTGGAATATAAAAACAATAAATTAAAATATTAATGATGTAATTTCAGCTTCCAGTGCCACCACCGACACCTGATAAAGGAGGCATGACAAAAATAGTTCAAAGCTCCTTGAGTATACTGGAAGTCGCTGATCCTAAGTTATGTATTTTAGCCCATCTTATGAGTCCGCTAGAGCCTATAGAGCCTATATTAGAATCACCACTCGCTAAACCTCTGATAAAGCAAAAGATGGCTGCCGGTGAATTGTTAAATGATGTGGCACAAGCAAACACAGCAGTGGGCGGAATGTTACTGGCCAACATGGAAAAGAATGCCGAATTCCCATTTATATCGTATTATGTGATAAATACAACGCAAACAGACCCATTGTTGTTTTACAACAATATGCGAAGTGCTTCCCTAAATAAGTTTGACCCGAAGGCGATGAGGTACTCTGCTGCGCATACTCTTGATCTATACAGTGAAGTGGCGATGATCTGCAGACCGCCCTTCAACGATTTAGCAGGAGGGCCAAAGAAATCTCATACACCTACCACAGGTTTCATCATTAGTGTTTATAAGGTGCGTTTTCCTTCTGGTTATCCCTTCAATAAGTAGATTAATTATATCGTAACAAATCTCATTTCTTTATCTAAAAGACTATGAAAACCAGGATATAAATATTGTCTCAGTCTATTGAGGTCTATACTTCTGAGATACAGGTCTTCTCTTCGGGATCATATAGAGAGAACAAGATCTTACCCATAGCGCTGGCCCAGTGCAGTGATGCATACTTCGCGATTGTAGAATAGGGTATTTGACGCTTTTCTAAAAACTTTTTTAAATTGTTATTTAATACATTATAAACACTGTCTATATATTTCATGAGAATCTGTTCTGTTTTCGATGAAATTATTTTTTAAAGTTTCAATAGCCAAAATCGCGCAAAAAACGCTTCTCTATGTAATGGCGCTGATCTCGTGGTATATGTGACGCCACATGCACATAAGAGTTAGAGGTAAATATATCAAGACGACATAACCTATTTATCAACTGTTTAGCAAACTATTAAGCAAACAAATAGTAATACAGAATAGAAACTAAAGTTAAATTTTATGTTTTGTATTTGTATATACTCTGGTTTTGTTTATAAAAATGAGCTGCAAATTGTATGTATACATTTAAATTTTACGTATCTCTAATAACACTGTTTTGACATGACAGCTTCCTGTTTACAATGACGTCACATTCCGGTAAACAGAACCTATTATTGGTTACAGGGCGTATTCGTCGTTCATTAAAATTCCTAAAAATGTTGCATTTCTTTACGTTATTTTACTAAAGCTAAACACATTTTGTCTGCAGATTCTAAGAAATAAACTTAATTAGATTGTTATCTAACGTGTCCATAATACGCAAACTAGTTTTAATAGTGTCTAAAATCCTATTATAGATGCAGCTAGGACTAAGAGCTTAACGTGCCCTTCAATTTAAATGAGAGTCAGAGATTAATAAAATAAAATTCTATCAGAGTCTGACTGAATGATAAAAACATAAACATGGTGTCTTTCCAGGTTTTCGAAGGCGATGACGGTGAACGGTTCGAAAGGAACTGGCTGTACTGGACCGGTGCTCGTATGCTCTATAGACATCTTCCGCATTCGGTAGGCATGAGGAAGATAGCCCTTCACAAATCTGTCGCCTCTCACGGTGACAAGATGTACTTACTGGTGTGCGAGTGTGCCAATTTGTTGGACGACTTGTCAGGCGCTGCGATGTTGGTGACGGCTCTGAGGGCACGTCTCTGTGGCTATACCGGCCTTTATCGGCCAATTCAAACTTTCTAGTAGAGGGACCCGGCCCCTACAGGCCTTTGTGTTGTTTTATAACTCTGAGGGTTTCACAAGGATCTAATCTTGGACCATAAAGTTTCTTCTTTATTTTCTAAAAATTCGTATAAAATTATTGTTAGCAATTTAAGACCACATTAAGCGGCGTAATTTAAGTATATCAAATTCATATACAGTATCTGTTTTACATCAACATATATGTTGATACTTAGTTTGGCAATCAAAAATACTATATTGCAACAAATTGCGATCAATTAAATTCAAAGGTCCTCAGTGTGAGCTGTTTTGGTAACAGGTTATATATTATATTCATCGCACAGCACAAGTTGTGAAAAAAATGGACCAAACTAATTTTATGTAATTGTAAAAGCATTAAAAGATTGTTTGAACGCGAGAGTGTCTCTAGCAGATGTGTTTTACAATTAAACGTCATCTGATTCTTTAATACGTGTTACGTGTTCATTTACATTAATATATTCACTCGGTGTGATACATACAACTAATTTCATTATAACGTTATCGAGTTCAAGTTATGTGGTCAATCTTTAGATATAGTTAAATTATCTTACAATTGACAGAAAGAATTAAAATATCTAGTTATGTTTATTGGTACAACTTTTTTGTTAATTATTATTTAGTTTTGAGTCCCTAATTGATCTGTATCTTTCTCTTAGTGCTTTCAACGATGACGAGGAATAGTCTTCCACTCAAGGACAGTACAAGATATTTTCTCAGATATTTCCAAAATATTTAACTGGTAGTTCCTTACATATCTTGTGATACATATCATGTTATATTATTGAGTTTATATCATTGATTTTGTTAATCTGTGATCAATGATACTTCTAAATAAAAATCGTCATTATCAGATTTTTTGAACAAACAAAATCAATCCGTAATCTATAAGTTGAGCTAACTGGGTCTTTGATCCGGCGATTTCATTCTCTATATAAGAAGTCTCATTCTATCGACCGCAGTTAATCGAGCTTTAGGGACTTTACGATGAACTTACAAACGCAATGCAATTGCAATCGCATAACAGATTCAAACAAAGGATCACATCATTTTGACAGTATTAATTTTAATTATATGCCTAACTTAATCAATTAATAATAAGTTATTATTAATTGATTAAGTTAGGCATAATAACAAAATGTATTTGCTTACTGAAAAAAAAATGTAAGTTTTTTTTTTTTTAATTTGGTGTTTTTATCCATATGGATATGTCAATCCAATAAATATTGTAAGTTATCCCGATAATATCTTACTTATATAACAGTAAATATATATCTGTATAACTCTTTCATTAGGAGAAATATGTTTCCGTAAACTAAATGTATAATTTACATTATAAATATGTACGAGACCAAACTATAAATAATATCTACTTTTAAAGTTAATAATGATGCACATAAAATAAGGAGTTGGCTTATAAAATATTAACGTTAAAATTTAAATCGAAGTTAGTATTATATTGCAAGTGCCACAACAATATTATCGCTAGTTTATTATATTTAATATTATATATAGATAGGTGAACATTCGTTATAAACACAAGAAAACCTTTATAATTTTAAGTCGACGTAGAATATAAACTTATCTGTATTTATATAAGAGTTTTATGCTTATTACTATAAAACTACGACATTTAGCAACTTTTCACACAATATGTTCAATTCATGCACGATACATGTCCTGTATTAATCCAATAGCCAAAAAGTCTTACGTGCACTATTTTAATTTTTCTGTCTTACTATCAATATGAGAATATCGGAGTTCACAGTACTGCTTAATTTTATTTAGGGGCCGTCCATTAATGTCGTGAGCTTCGAAAGAGGGGGGGGGGGGGGAGAAGGGTTCGTAAAAATCACGAAGTATCACAAGGAGGGAGGGGGTGTAGTAATATATAACGTGAATTAATTTTTTCCCGAAACGCGCGATTATTAAACCGAAAAGCGGCGTCAAAAATTAAGAATTTTGTAGATACTGAAAAATACACGTGATTTGGGTGGTGGGGTGAGGTTAGTCTTAAACCTCGACATGTAGGAGGGGGAGGGAGGTTAAATATTCGAAATAAATCATCACTTGATTAACGGACGGCCCCTTAAGTACTAATGAATTATTTTATTTTTCCTTTAATTGATGGAGCAGCAATAACAATATGCCCGCGGAGCGGAATAAAAGAGTAGGCCACTGCAAATATTCTACACGAGTTTCGTAGCTTTGCGCCTTTAGTAGAACATCCAAACCAACCGCCGAGTGAACCGAAACACTTTTAATGCTCGCTTGTGCAGTGCACGTCTTTATTTGCGTCTGATGCACTGGCGTATTTTATTTATCTGTGTTTGTAAGTTGCTATATACGGTAGTTTTATAGTAATTACAATGGAATTGCCTAATCTTATTAAATAGGCACTTCTGCTTTTCATCTTGAATGATCCCTTAGATTTATAGTGCAAAAATAATCAATAGTCACTATTTTCATTCTCTATTTTCAAAAAGAACATATTATTTTGCTACGGTGCTAATTTTAGGCTTTTGCTTTAATAACTAACACATTTTATAAAATGTATTACAAATAAATAGATTCCTGTAATTTCACCTTATTCAAAAATTAATTAATTCATATTATAAACAATTACTATGAATTGTAGGCATTGTAAATAATTACGTCAAAAATCCTAATGAAAAACAGTAATTAAATTACTAGATTATTTCTTAAAAAAGAAAAGGCGCATAAGGAATTTACATAAAAAAAATTGTAAATAAGAAAGGGTTTTGAATATTTTGGCTGTCATTTTCTTCTTTTTTTTTCCAATTAAAAATAATCTGTGTTGTTGCATGCGTAACATAACAAACTCGAAAAATGCTTTGTCTATACGAAACGTCACTTTTCTCCGGTCGAGAGGGTGAGAACGTTCTAGAGTTCGTCATGCTACACGTGCCAATGAAAGTTACACGTTATTTTTATTGAAATAAGATTTATAAATTTTTTATCGTAAGTCCGGTCATCGGCGGCATTGGTAGATATGTTCTGCGCAAGGAAAAATAACCATATGCCGTATTAATAGGAACTATTTGCAACTTACTGTAACATCAATGTAAACATGAGACAATGTCCTATAATAAAATTGCTTAAAGAATGTAAACATGAGACAATGTCCTATAATAAAATTGCTTAAAGTGTGACACATGTAATAATGTTGCATAACAAAATATTCTTACCCCTTTTCTATCTTCGAATTATTAAAATGGCCAATAGAGATGTTTCATACTTATATGTCTCCAAAATGCAGTCATCAAACAGTGAACGGTGAATTCTTATACCTGATCAAAGTTCATTAAATGTAAGACAGCTTTAAAAAGTGTATTCATTGTTTGAGAGTTGTATAAAAGAGGTTATAATATAGAACAAATACAGTATAAAACCATGGGAATGATGAACAGAATATATAAAGAAATTTTAAGTTAGATTGTAAGTTTTGTTATTGAATAAATATAATAGATGATTTTGTTGTAAGCTTAAAAGCTTATTTGCAATAACGAGCTGAGCTCATAGATTATAGAAGTTTAATTGAATTTCAATTATTTTTATAATAAAAATCTAAACTGGTATCTAGTGTTTTATTTTTTCTAGCTTTATATTAAATCTTTATAAAGAATCATCCTGATTCCTTAGCCTGTTAATATTAACGTCTTAAGGGCAGACACTTGGGAGAAATGGTTCACAAAATATGATGACAAAGTCAGATGTGTAGAAATGTTTAAGATATTAAGGCAGATGAAATATAGTAATATTTCAAAAATAGTGCATGCTTCATAAGTTAGACTATGATCTTATTCACATAAGTCATGGTCAAGGTAACAAATGAGTAGATAAGTTATAATTTAGTTATACATTGTCATTTACTATATTTTCGTCAAAAATCATGAAGAAAATGATAAACAACTATTTAAATAGTAAAATATTTAATGCAACAAATTATAATAATTTACCTTAGGTACATTAGTAATTATTTTTAAAATAAACTCATCAGTCTAATTTGTGCTCAACTAGTTTTATAAATTAACTCACATCAGTAACCCCTATGACCACGGAATCTTCTTCTATTATCAAGCTGAAAAAAAAAAATCATTTCCATACACTTCACCATCAGCAATATGTAATTGGGATACCCTCCTATAATTATATGTAGTATAATAAATAAATCAGGGGCCTAGTTGTCTAATTTTAAAATCTATCTCAATCCCATTTGGCATTTGAAAAATATTCATGAATTTCATGCTACAACTATTTGACATATGACAGCGATTGCAATCGCTACATTTTTTTAAAATAGATAATTGATTGAACTATGTTGTTCATTGGAACTGACTAAGCAAAGTGATACATGAAAAAGATTCTTTATTATTCAAATCATAGTTCACTCCGAAAATGTTCGCGACTTTAAAAGTTACACTATACCTTTGAAAGAGATTGGGATAGACTTTAAAATTAGACAACCTACTGTTTGCACATTGGTTTCAAAGGGTCATCATCTTTTACATTCCTGGTTAAATTCTTAGTCAGGTCAATTTAGAAAATTGACTTTTCGATATTGTATTGGGCCTGGGTGTTATAATTCATTTGTAGTTTCAGGAGTTTTCTGTTGACATTTATGTTCATGTTTAATTTTTAATACAAAAAAATTAAAGTATTGAAACTCACACAGCACCAGTAGTAGTAACTATCAAGAATTACATTTCTTTATGCTTTGACTAGTGAACTATTAAAACGCAAACTCACTACCCAAATTTCCACAATACACATGCTTTAAAAACTTAATTTGGGATTTTAGCAATGAGTGGGACGTCGTCAAAAATTTATTCATTGGCAATATAAAATAAGTAGGTGCATACTGTCAGCAAAAAAGATTAATAAGATACTCACTAGTGATCTTTTGCATTCAAAGAATGTTCGTCGTAGTTGAATACACTCTTCCGGTATATTACCATCTCGAAGACATTCCCGTGGAGTCATTTTATTCTGAAATGCAAGAGTGAATTTGTTAAAATAAGGTCCTGACAGAGTATTATGACCATTTGTTGATGGTGTCAGCTGATGGCAAACTAACCTTTTTACAGCAATCACTATTCAATAAACATATCTTTAGATCTGCTCTGATATTGGCACATGGTGATTTATCTACCAAGCCGATTTCATCTGGAGCGAATGTCGTAACCATTTTAATTATTATTGAAACAAAATAATTTCTCAAATCTCATAGAGAATTTAAACAATGCTGTCAAATACATTATAATTGTACTAACGTCAAATGTCTTCTTCTTCTTCTTCTTTTTTAATTCATGGCCTATTTGCATTTACACAATTCCGCCAATGTCACGTTTGTGGTCTTTACACGTATAGAAACAATAATAAAATATGTAAAATTTTGAATTTCAATAAAATAAAAAAAATAGCTCTGAGCGCGTCTATCTGATTACATTGTTAAAGATAATACAAATAGAATGTATATAGAAAACAAATATATTTATAAATTAAGACTATTATTGATTGCAAAGAATTTTGCTAAAATTTTGAATGGGCTGGGATTCTCCATACTCAAGATACATTTTATATTTGTTGGACGTGGAACTTTTGATGGTAGCAAATCATAAAGCGAAATGGATAAATTTGAACAATTAAATAAAATATGATCCGTAGTTCCTTCCTCAATGCCACAATCGCAGAGGGGGTTGTCTTTAATTTTAAATTTGGCAAGTCGAACCGGCGTACACACATGTCCAATTCTCAGGCGACAAATAATTGAAATCGTTTTTTTACTTAAAAGCTTTTCCTTAAAGAACCAGGGAGTACTGGGGATAGTTCTCTGGATTTCAAAATAATACTTTCCCGCTCTATTTCTAGTATTTTCCCAATCAACATTCCATGACCTCATTAAATGTTCATGTGCTAGTACAAAGAGATCGTGATGAAAAAGTTTGGAATATTTTAAAGAGCCAGTTATAACAGCTTGCTTAGCACATGCATCAGCTGTCTCGTTCCCAGGAATACCACAATGTCCCGGTATCCATGCGAGGGTAATGAGCAGCTTCTTAAGATGGCACCTATGCAATGCTTGTCTTATTTTAAATATTATTGGAAATTTATTTTTAGAACGAAACGGATGTGATATTATAGACTGTAAGCAACTCTGTGAATCTGTGAAAATGATAGTTTTGTTAAAGTTATGAGATTCGGCAAATAGGATGGCCTCAAGGAGAGCTAAAGCAAAAATTATTATTTACAGTTAAAACAGAAATTTTACGTGTTATAAGAAAAATCTTAGATGACAGACACTGACGTAACAAAAAAAGACATAAAAAACTTAAAATAATATACAGCCTCTTTTGACATCTTCCCAACGAGAAAAAAAAAATATTCCTCAGTACTTGCCACTTAGCAATGTCCAGTGATGGTTTCTAAAGGATAGAGTCTTTGAATTGGTCTCACTAACGTTCCTTTACTAGTGCGTACTTTGGCAACCCTAACTTTACCGTCCTTTCCCGGTATCAATTCTATAACTACTGCTAAAGGCCATCGAATACGCTTATCTGTATCGTTGCCAACCATTACAACACATCCTACTTTGGGTTCTACTATAGGTACCATCTTATTTTTTCGAGAAAGAAAACCTAAATATTCGCTTCTAAATCGATTTACTAAATTCAACCTAACCCTCTTCAAATTTCGATATTGACGGCTTAAATTTTTTGCAGATAATTCACTATCTTCATACAAATCTATTGAACTCGAAGGAGCACCCTGCCGTACTTTTAAAAACATAGAAGGTGTTAAGGGTTGTGGTTCTTCTGCATCATCACTAACATAAGTAATAGGTCTCGAATTTACGATAGACTCACATTCATAAATAACAGTTAGTAATTGTTCATAACACAAACAAGAGTTTCCTAAAACCCTCTTTAAAATATTTTTGACTATACCTATGAGCCTCTCGAAGAAACCTCCCCACCAAGATGCACTAGGTGGATTGAACTTCCATTCCACTTTCAAAAATTTACTAGCTAAAGTAAAATTCGTAGCATTGTCGCTGTAAACAATTTTTGGACATCCCCTGCGAGCAACAAAACGGCGATATGCCTGAAGAAAATCCTCAGCAGACAACGACAGCACTAGCTCTAGATGCACTGCTCTGTATACCGCACATGTAAAGAGACAAAACCAAACCTTCTTTTTGTCCTTTAAATACAGAGGACCAGCTAAATCTACACCGATAATCTCAAAAACCTCCACAGAAGTGTTGATTCTTTGCTCTGGTAAAGCGGGCGATGATTCATTAAAATGTTTAGAACTATGTCTTCTACAAATTACACATTTTGTCACAACAGAACGAACAGCTTTTCTTCCCTTAATAATCCAGTAGTTTTCTCTTAATGAATTCAAAAGCGTCTGAACCCCAGTGTGTAGATTTTTTTTTGTGTTCATATTCTATCAAACGAGTGACAATAATATGATTTGGATACAATATTATAGGACAGCGAAAACAGTATGCGTCACTTTTATTCAGCAAAGGAGATTCTAGTCTTAATAAACCCTTATCATCTTTCAATACTCTAAAACCTTTAAGACGAAAATCAGAAACACCAGAGAAAGTTTCCTGCTGACACAGTTTCAATAAAGTAATTTCTGCATCCTGATATTCTAAACCAGAAATGTCATCGCTCAAAAGCTGATGAGTCATCTTACGACATTTTTTGATGAATCGTAACATCCAAGCCACCATACGGACTAATTTATTATAACTAGAAAAATAGCGCGTGTACCTTGACAACTCAGAATCAACTTGTGAACAAAAAACTGACGATATCTGTGAATTAGTGACTGGTTTTTCAGTCTTTTTTAACTCTCTGTTTACTTCGGCTTCATCGACAAAAGAACCACTTGAGTGATTCGACCAATTATCTGGGGCTTCTCTTAGCCATAATGGACCCTCCCACCATTTAGAATGAATTAAAAACTCTACATCACAACCTCGAGATGGTAGGTCAGCTGGATTATTACAACCAGGAACGAAAAACCACTGCTCTGGTTTAGAAATTTCTCTTATCTCTTTAACTCTGTTGAATACAAACCTAGCCCACGGAGCGTCTCTTTTTATCCATGAGAGAACAACATTCGAATCGCTCCAATAAAAAACAGAGGAGTCATCAGTTAAACTCAACGCATCACTAACAGATTTCATTAATCGTGCACCAATACTAGCAGCAAGTAATTCCAAACGTGGTATTGACGTACTTTTTTTAGATTTAGGCGAAATTCGCGACTTAGCTTGAACAAAACGTACATCTATACCATCAATAGTTTCTATGCGAACAAAAATCACAGCCGCATAGGCAGATTGACTTGCATCTACGAACACATGAAAGCTCAATCGGTCATACTTACCTAAAAGACACCTCGGTAACTCGATTTTATTTAATAAATTTAATTGTGAATACCATTCACTGAAAGTCATCTCAACATCCTTAGGCACTTCCATATCCCAATCATATCCAGAATTGCACAAATCTCGTAACAATAATTTAGGTTTAATAAGAATCGGGCAAACTAACCCCAGAACATCAAATATCTTGTGCGTAATCGACAAAATGAATCTCTTGGTTACTTGAACAGAATTATCACTAATTTCAAGACTAGTCAAGAAGAGCGTATCAGTTTGTTTATTCCAATTCAAGCCCAGTACATTGGTAACGTGAGGAGATATATTGTCACCACTATATTCCCAACAACGCAAATCAAATCCACCCGTTTTCAAAACTGCTATTGCCTTATTACGAAAACAATCTAACTCCTTCATTGTACTGACACTAGTTACACTATTATCGACATAAAATGATTTTAACAACTTACCTAGAGTCATCTTATCCTCATAAGAGTCGATACCTTTTATGACTTGTTGTATGTGGTGTTCCAATGTGGCCTCTAGCAAGAATGGGCTGCAGGTTAAACCAAACACTACTCTACAGTGACGATAAATCTGTAATTTATCAGGGTTATTACTATCCCACCACATAAAACGCAAAAGGTCTCTATCTTTGGGAGATATACTTATTTGCAGAAATGCTTTTCGAATGTCAGAAATAACACCTATCTCTTTCTCTCTAAAACGTAAAAGTATATTAGGTATAAGCTCAATCAAATTTGGACCTGTTTCTAAGCACTGATTTAGGGAAGGGGATCCTACACTACGAGCAGACGCGTCAAATACTGGACGAATTGGAGTGGTGCTACTACTAAGACGAATAACATGTCTATGTGGCAAGTAATGAGAGTCAACCCTACTGACCTCATCGTCATTAACCTTTTCAATAATGCCTTCATTGTACCAATCTTTGAATACCTGTCCGTATTGCTCGAAGTAGTTTTCAAATTTCAATCTCTTTGTGACCTTCTCTAAACGCTTGAATGATATTTCTCTGTTACTAGGTAACGGCGGATGATTATCTTTCCAAGGCAACACAACTTCATACTTTTCGACATCCTTATTAAATACAGTAGTTTCCTTGAAATTCTCTTTGACCTGTTTTACATGCATTTCCTTGGACTTCTTTTCTATGGGATCCATGATGCCCAATGTATCTAGTCGCCATAGGTCTGATATATTGCCTTCACGTGCAAATAAAGAAACTACTAAGAAAGTTGCGTCATTTTTACGAACAAATGTGTTTCTTTTCCCTAACAAAGTCCATCCTAATTTAGTCTCGATCGCACTCATATATTCATTAATTTGTGTCATACTACATGTTACTAACTTAGCCATCATATCAGATCCAATCAATATACTAATAGGTTCGCTGCTTTCTTCAACATCCGACAGAATAATATTCATCTGCTTCAATTTTTCTAACAAAACTTTGTCATTAATAGCTGGAATATCGGCACATATTTCCTTCTTGTCAAACACTTCAATGTCACATTTGAAAGATGTTGTCAAATTTTGCACTGAAATAATAAATTTATTATGCGTCTCTGGTATCGATGTCGAACCTCCAAAGAGACCATGTTGTATAATTGTCTTACTATGGGACTCATAATTCATACGAATTGCTACATCTTTTAATATATATGAATGTTGTGAACCTGAATCTAATATACATCTTACAACCATTGTTTTTTCTTTATTCTGCAGCTTGACTCTTAATGTCTGAAGAAAAACATTTTGATGGACTGATATATTAGCTGTGCTCTTGACTAAATCATTCTTTTCTTCAATATGAGCACTCTGTGACGTCGAAGGACTTGCAGCTTCCCTGCACATCAACAAAACATGTTTTCGTCCACACCAAGGACATTTTTTATTATTTCTGCATTTACGAAAACCATGTCCGACTTTTAGACATCGAAAACAACAGCGTTTATTCTTCACAACATTCTGTCGCTCTTCCAATGTCATCTTCTTAGCTTTCATACAAGTCGAACTGTCATGATCTTCATCGCAAAATATGCAGACAACAGTCTTTGTATCACCAGCTATTAACCCCGATGCCGTAGGAGTATTCTCTTCGATAATGGCGTTCGCTTTCTTACCTTTAAACTCGGTTGCACTATTTTGAGTGAAACCGCGCGTAGCCATTGCAATTCTCTCTTCATTTTCAGCTTCAACTTGAAGAAACTCCATCAATTTTCTAAGCTGATCTTTGGGTTCTGGTATTGGTCCACAATGTCTTTGCCAAACTCTAAGAAGCTCTTCTGGTAGTGACGATTCTACAAGAGGGAATAACATGGGTGCACAAGCCTCTTTAGATACATTCAAAGATTCCAGTGACCTCAAATGAGATTCCAGTTTGTCGTACAGAGAAGTCACTTGGAACTTTTTTTGAGACTTGTAGATGTTGCTTTGTACTACCAATTGCAAAAGTTTTCTTATATAAACCTCAACCAATAAATCTGTCTTTCCAAATCTACTCTTTAAACTTTCAATAACCTTTTCATAATTTTCACTAGTCGGTGGAAAACTGTGGACTAAGTCACTTGCTCGAGAGCCAGGCATCATACTTTGCAACAGATAGTGGAATTTATCATCTCCGGTCAACTCTTCGTCGTGATGAATTTTCTTAAACTGGCTCCAAAACCTCAACCAATTTTCAAGATCCCCGTCAAATTTAAATAATTCTATTTTCGGTAATCTCACCTTTGTTGAACCGTTCTTTACAGTCATCTTAGAGGTTGTTTCAGAATGTTCTGGTCGGGATGAAAAACGTGTAAACTCCAATTCCGCAAGTATAAACTCAGCCTTATATCTCTCAGCGGATTCTAATTCCTTAGTGATCTCGTCTTCTGTAACCTCGTTTTCTATAAGGTTATCTATTATTATGTTATTTAAGATTTCGATTTGGGACATATTTTCTGTTATTAGTCTGAAAGTTACTTCTGCTTCATTTAAATGTCTATCGAAATTCTAAGATGCTACGTCAAATGTCTATCGAAATTCTAAGATGCATAGACTATAGATAGAATTAGGGGTGTAACGATATATCGGAAACCCATATATATCGATATATCAACTCGTAAAATATAGATATCAAAGTAACAGGGAAATCAATATAGAAAAATACCAACATATTGAAATCTAATATCGAATGAAATAAAGGAGGAAATGTGTACTGTTAACAAAATTGTCCAAATTTTAACATTCAACGAAATCTTCATAAGTGTTATTATGGAACATTATTTTACAACCCTGGCTTTTACTTTGAAATTTGGTATACCTCAAGATAGCAGTTATATCAATGAATTTGAAATGTCAATAAATAGTGATACACAGCATATAAACAGAGACACTGTAATTAATATGTCAAAAAATTTTGACTGAATAGTGACTTCTATACTATGAACTTTCATTTGCATCACTTCAATACTAAAAAGACTTGTGATGGTATTTGCTGACTGTCCCGATTTACTTACTAAATTTAACTTTAATATTCCATGTCATTTGCCGAGATTTGGCAGTAACAAACTTTTCCATTTACATAAGCGTCGTACAAATCGAAAGTTGCACTATCTTATATCGCGGGCAACTGCATTTTATCAGGAATACCAAAATAATATCGACCTTGTTTTGATTTCCATGCCTGCTATAAAGAAACTGTTTATATACTAGAATTGTAATGTGTTCTATATATTTTTAATAAATAGAAATAGAATTGGAGATATTGCTGATTGTTGGTATGCCTGCTACTACCTTGACGTTTAAAGCAATGGCAATTCCAAAAATACGGGTAGGATTCAGCAGCTAATAAACACACAAAACAATAGTGACTGAAATTGTGGTTCCCATGATACATATAAATCCAAGGTATTATATAACACTGTTTATTAACCGATTTATTTTCATATTATTAGATATTGATAAATTAATATATCGGTTATCCGATATACCGTTGCATCCCTAATGACATTGTCACGAGTTTGTGGTTTATTTTGTTTTGACATGGTTTTGACATGAAATCCTTGGTTGATCCTTGGAATGGATGAAGATTTTGGAAGATTATTTTGTGTTGTGTTTTTGTGTGGACTTGAGCAATAAAAGTCTTTTAGTTTACTATTAATCCAAACTTTTTTTTTGACCGGCTTTTCACTGAGTTGGTCAATTTTTTTCCTTTCTGAGTAATGTCAAAATTGTAACAGTAAGATGCACAAATCTCTCTCGATTTATAGAAGAAAACTATCACATGTCTGCAATTTAAAGCCATACAAGGATACTAGATGGCTAATGCCAAATGGGAATCCAACGGGGTTATTCGTGTACAACTGCGTAGCAGATCAAAAAGTCCCAGTGATTCTGAGTGATCCTCATATAGGTACGTGGTACTCCTGTGGTCCAACTGTATATGACTCTGCACATATTGGCCATGCAAGCTGCTATGTAAAATTAGATATTGTTCAACGAATACTAAAATCATTTTTTAACATAAAACTTGTAACAGCTATGGGAATAACAGATATTGATGACAAGATAATCAAAAAAGGCATAGAAACAAAAACAGATTTTAGAACTATTGCCAAGCAATATGAATATGAATTTTGGCTTGATATGTCTAATCTCAATATAGAAAAACCTTCAATTATCACTAGAGTATCAGAGCATATTGGATCAATAGAACAATTTATCAAGAAGATTATTAACTCTGAAATGGCATATGTCACATCTGATGGATCAGTATATTTTGATACAAGTAAATTCTCATCATATGGTAAGTTGCATAAAATGCAAGAATCTGGAGAACCTTTAGATGACTTTAAAAAGAATAAAATGGACTTTGCTCTTTGGAAGGGAAAGAAACCAGGGGAACCCTCATGGCCTGTTTCTTGGGGAGAAGGGAGACCTGGGTGGCACATAGAGTGTTCAGCTATGGTGAGTAAAGTGTTTGGATCACAACTAGACTTTCATGCTGGTGGAGTAGACCTTCAGTTTCCTCATCATGAGAATGAAGAAGCTCAATCATGTGCCTTCCACAACACATTGCAATGGGCCAACTACTGGATACATGTAGGACACTTACATGTGAAAGGTGATGCAAAAATGTCTAAATCATTAAGAAACACTATTTCTATTTCTGAACTTTTAGAAAAGTATAGTGCGGATACATTTAGAATGGCATGCCTCATGTCAAATTACAGATACCCAATGGAATTCAGTGACCAGATGATGGAAACTGCTGAACAAACATTAAAGAATTTCAAATTTTTCTTTAAAGATGTCTGTGTTTATGTTAACAACAGTAATATACAAAATGGAGATTACAACGATAAATTATTAGATGATCTACAAAAAGTTGAACATCAAAACCTTAAATTTCTTAAATCAGATTTTGACACAGCTTCATGTATAAATAATTTATCAAACTTCATATCAAATACAAATAAAATAATAAAAGCAGATAACAATGAATACTATCCAGTACCGATGATATTAATAGCCGATTATGTGACCACTGTTTTATTGAACCTGGGTTTAACATTAAAAGAGAGTAAACAAGACAATGTTTCTGGTTCCATTATAGATACTTTAGTTGATTTCAGACATACAGTAAGGTTAAATGCCTTAACAAGAAAGGACAAAGATCTACTAAATGCTTGTGATGTAGTAAGAGACAAACTGAAGGCAATCAAAGTTCAAGTCAATGATAGTAATCAATCATCTTCCTGGGTGTATACTAGATAAACATTAAAATGTATTATTTTAGTTACTTCTGTCTTTGTAAGATATGTATATACAAATATATTTAATTTTAATATTATGTAATATTTTGTTTATTATAGAAGTTCAGTTATCCTATTATTGAATAATTTATTTTAAATGATTCTGCGGCAGTTGTCACCAGTTAATAGATATGAACTTTGTAGTTTGTACAAGTGTGCAAAATATGTCCAGTTTTCAAAATCAATATCCTACAGGGTAAAGACCATGTAACATCACTTGATTTAAATTAAACGACAAACTCCCATAGGTACCAAAATCATTTTCCATACAATGATACAATATGTAGCATTATACCCATTCTCAATAACTATGTACTGTAACAATGTGTTATTATAAGGTAACAAGTAGTACTTTCTAAATTTGTAAAGACTGCACCTATTCTCTTATTGCGTATTAACTAGCCTGTAATAAACTTAGTCATCAACAACCTATAAGTTAAGAAAAAATCTTTTCATATATAGTATGCATAAACTTGTAATAGAATCTTTCTGGCTGTTCCATTTGTATCTGGCGGGTTTCAGTATCATTAAAAAGTTTAAGTTTTAAAGAAGATAACTCCATATTCAAATTAGGAAAATTTGTGATTTTCATTTGTTTTTATTACGTACTATTGTGAATCTAATGGAGAAATTCGACACATTTTAAAATTTGTGACGTTTATGGACCTAGTGCAGTTTTTGTGAGAATGGCACTGGTTTAATCGTTTTCACTATTTCAATTCTGATATCAAAGATGCACGTCATGTTACGGATAAAATGGATGTAATAGGCTATTTGACGCTATTCAGAGATCGTTTATTGGTTATTTGATATATTATAAACACACTGTCAAAATATTTCATGGGAATCGGGTCTATTTTCGATAAAAATAATTGTTAAAGTTTTAATAGCTACAATAGTAGCTCGGTGGCGTAGTGGATAAGCGCCGCGACCCGCGATCATTGTCGTTAAGCAACTTTCGCAAGAGTCGGACACGGGATGGGTGACCAAAAAATTATTATCTCGAGCTACTCCGTGCTTCGGAAGGCACGTTAAGCCGTTGGTTCCGGCTGCATTTGCAGTCGTTAATACCCTCTAATCCGCATTGGGCCAGCGTGGAGAGTCATGGCCCATCCTCCCTAACCATCCATAAGGAAGGCCTGAGCCCCTGCAGTGGGGACGTAAAAGGGCTGGTGATGAAATAGCCAAAATCGCACAAATTGCATTGAAATTCTTCAAAAAGTTGCATTTTTTACGTTATTTTACTGAAGCAACATACTTCGTTTGCACATTCTAATAAACTTTATTAGATTATTAGCTAACAGGATGACCATAATACGTAATTTATTTTTAATAGTGTCTAATATGCTATTAAAAAGACAAACCAGTTTTTAATTTTAATAGTGTATGTCTAGTTAAATTTTCTGAAAACCGTTTCATGAACTACGTCAACTGAACTAGTTGCTTCAATACAATTTCTTTCCCGTTCAGTCCGTCTACGATATCAACTAGTCGAAAAAAAACTGATTTTTAACTAGTTTACGGTGATAAACAGTCGTTCGTTGATCGAAAGGCATCGATAACCCACCCCTACTCCCCTCTACATCACAAAAAAACGAATAAATGGCAAGTTTTATTAATAATAATGTTACATACATGTTCAATTTCTTAACTGATAATTCAGGTGAATAAACTGAATTATAAAATAAGGTAGCGTCACACAAACTAAAGAAAGCGACAGATAAAATAATATAACTATTAATGTCAGTCTTATTTAATTTCACAATTAACTCATTAAAATTTGTTCCAACCAAATACATAAAAGGTGTACAATAAATCAAATTATTAAGTACAAATTTAGGTCTCCATTTTGTTTTTTTTTTTTAATATGGGATATCCAATCGTTTATTGTAGGTTAAAGAATTTAAAGACTAGATTTCTTTATCGATTTAAAGGAACTGATATTACAACACTATCTGATAGTTTTTCAAATAAACTTTTTAACGAAATTACATTATATTAACGCAATATCGCCGAATGATTTATAATCTCATGATAAAAAAAAATCCTTAGCAATTTTTGTGCGCAATATATCTTTTTTCAAATGAAGAAATCGATTAGTTCATTGGTTGTACAATGTTGTTTTTATCTTGTATCATATTTTCAGCTTTATAAACTTTCCACGCTATGAGATAGTCTCGCATTACTTTAAACAAGGTGTAGTAATTAATGAACAACAATATTATTATAGAGATGAAGTTGTGCCACGCTACAGAACTGAAGAGTAGACACAGCTCTAAAACTATTAAGGAGAGCTGCATGCACAGTAGAAGACACAGCATTGTGGATGGATTTATGAACACCGCCTGTTGAAAGAAATACAACTTTTAAAAACTTCATTACACTATGAAATAATTTCTTCTCCACAAAAGAGTTTTGTTATAGTTATATCTATGGTTCTGAGTGATTTTTGACGACGTCCGTAGCAGCATAGCTTGTACGCTATTATTTATTGTCTCGGATCTGGGCGACCTTCGTTATTTTAGATACTCCATAATACAAGGGCTGCTTATCATAGAACAGCCTCTGATTTTAATGAAATGAAATGAAAATGTTTTTGAATGAAATGAAATGTTTTTATTCAAGTAAGCTTGCTACAAGCACTTTTGAATCGTCCAAGTGGTAGGGGAAAAAATCGTCGAAAAATTTTTCCCCTGCCACTTGTTCAGGACGTCTTTTTAACCTTTTACTAGCACATTTTTAGGTGTAGATTACACATCTAGCATGTGAAATTAAAAATCATGAATATTGTGGCCCCTTATAATATCAGAAATAACAATATGCCGGTGGCCGAGTCCCACTGTTGATACGAGCCAGACATACTAACATAGAAGCGTGTATGTGTAGGGTCCGCGGGCTCCGCGGCGGTGGCGGCCGTCGCGTAGAACGTGCCCCCGCACCAGCGGACGGTCGCGCCGCGCGCCCACAGCTTGGAGGCCGACCACGACGGGACATCCAACGATGAATCTAAACATTTATTTCAAATCACCCCGACAATATTTTGTTATTCTGTTTCTTTTTTGTTGAAAAATATTATACACGTATTTTTTTTTTGCGTAATCTATTGTAAATTATGGCGATACGTTGAATTAAAATAGAGCCGATTACAAAGAAGAATGGCGAAATCAGACCCCATAATTTACAAAACCGTACATGGATGGCAATATGACAAATAAATAATATATGATTAATAGATTTTATTTCTACAAAGTGGTGAATTTTAAAGTCGGGGAACCAAACTAAAATATTAAATGCTGCTATTAATTATCAAGATAACAAAACGTCTGATGATAGGGCAAAAACAAAACGCGAAAATCTTCTTAAGAAACGTTCTGGTCTACGCAAAAGTACTTTAATAATAAAACTATATCTAATAATAAAAGGGTCATCTATTTTAATGGATATTATCGTTTCCTGTACATTACAATTATTCTATTGCCTTTAAAGTACCATTAATACGCTTAATAATCGAATATAAATTCAAAATAAGATTGTATAGAATAGATTCCGTTCTCTTTAATTAAAAACCACACTATATGTCAAAGGGTTTTAGTTTGGATGGTTTTTGAAAAATCGATCACATACATCAACGATGTCAGAAGCGATTCTCAATTAATCGCGAGTTTTTTTAAACTTATTTTATAGAATATTATCTGTCGTCATTAACTGCTAATAATAAGTGAGATATGTGATTTAATGATACGTACGCGTACCGACTGAGCGAATGAACGTAAAATATATACTCAATATAAAATCTATATATAATATATTATATGAAATACGATATTTGAATACTTTCATAAATATTTATTTTATTCGTTCAAATTACGAATTGAATACTTGAGAAATAAAAAAATTGAAAGCTAAGATACCACAACCGATTTAAGAAGATTATTGTCAGTTCTGCAGTTGATCCGATGAAAGGTTAACGTATCGATTATTTTGTTCTAAATAATCGATTGGTTGATTTTATTTTGACATGCTTGTTTAATTCATCCATGAATGTTCTATGATGATGATGGTGGAATGATAGCGGATGATTAGTTTGGTTTGTTTGTTGTGTGTTCGTTCATGGAGTTTGATATTTATGTTAATATTCAACTTGACAATTAAGCATGTTTCTTTGACTAACGTTGATATTTGCATTACTTTTGGATTCCGAATGGCAATCGATTCGGTTATATCAATGACAGTTCAATGTGTACATTGCCCTTATTTGTCACTTTCAGTTGTAATGATTTAATTAAAGGCAAAGGGATCTAGTCCACACAGTCTAGTCATATGTTATAAATGTTTCTTCTATTATAAGTGTCTGGATCTTGTTAGATATGTAACTCTGGTTACCATTTTTATTTATTTTAACGGCCATTCAACGAAAAAGCAAAGATGCAATATATAACCCCACAAAGTATTTTATGCCATATCTTTTTAACCCCAACTTTTAAAGGAAAAAGACGATTAGGATTTTGTTACTTTAGTTTATACCTTCAAGTACACGTTTATTTCATTCATGAACGGGACTTTAAAAATTCAGGTCCAAAGCTATATGGGAGTTCGCCATTGTTCTTTAAAAAAAAAAGGGAAAAATAACATCAAAAGCGACTCCTTCAAGAAAATGCTACTTAAGTCGGACGCCTATAAATTAATTTCTTCGCCTGTCCCATGGACGAATTATAATACTACTATAAATTAATTAATAACCAACAGAAAACGTCCGTCTGACTTAGGGCATGGATACCGGTATACCGGTATACCGAAATACCGGTATACCGGACAATTTTTTCGGTATTTTGATACCGGTATTTGAGGATAAAATACCGGTATTACTATTTTTAAAGTCGTATTAAAAAAAAAAGGTTTATATTTTTGCAATATCAGCTGTTAAAAGTCATTGATACGTTTTCACACATATTTTTAGGGTACCAAAAGATCAAAGGACTGAGTATGACTGAGTAGACTACGCTGTCTCCGCCTGTCAGCGGGCTCTATCTCCGAAACCACTGAAGCTAGGAATCTGAAATTTTCACAGAATGTGTACAACTGTTGCCGTTACAAAAACAAATACTAAAACCTGTTACAAATTTTATCCTCTAAGTGGCGCTGATACAACAAAGTGTCAAAAATTGGAATATCTCAGCCGTTATCAAAGCTAGCAAAATATTTTTATTAATTTATCATACCGAATTGGTTCTTAAATCAATAATAAATAAAGAATATTATTCTCCAACGGCACCCTTCGTGCGCGAGTTCCACTCGCCGGTTTTTTATATTTCACAGCACAGTTGTACACGTTATGGAACCCACACCCAGCAGTTGTATATATAAGGACGCCTTCGCCTATGTTATGTCCATCCCCCGGGTTCAACTATCGATTCAAATAATCGGTAGATTCAAAACGATTCGAGTATCCAGTCCCATCACTAATCATGTGACGCGCACGCCGAGCACGCCACTTCCTTTCCCTCCCTCCGCCCGCCGCCGGCTCGGGCTTCCTCAGTCAGTTCTGCTGATATTATTGAAGCGAGAGCACGTTGCCGTTTGTTTACTACTCTAACTCCACCAGCTTTTTAAAATCGAGGTACTAGAGGCAGATTTTTGGATGCAGCTTACAAGTACCTATTAAGCATTCCTCCCACCAGCGTTGAATCAGAAAGGGCGTTTTCATCTGCAAGTTACATTTGTAACAAAATAAGATCATCGTTGAACGACGCAACTTTGGACGCATTGTGTTTTCTTCGTTCAATTTTACAACAAACGCGATCTACCTGATTGAGATTTAAGTTGAATTGCGCCTTTGATATAAATAATTTTAAAATAAGTAACATCATTTGTAATTTGATTTTGTTTGAAAATTTTGTAACTTACATGTTATAAGTTCTATTATTATAAGAGAGCTGATTGTGATATTTGTGCCAATTAAACAATAAATGAACGATACTAGGATCAAAGAACGTATTTTCTTTAATATGTCTTAATTAATAACCTTACATTAATTACCTACTGTTTTTTGATTTCTAGGGAGTGAATAGTTTCAGTGTTTTTACTTTGGAGACTTACTAAACGTTCTTTAAATTATTTAAACAGTAGTTACTGTTTTTTAGCAATAATTTCAAAATATACCGAAAAAATACCGAAATACCGGTATACCGGTATTTGAAAGTCTAATACCGGTATCAATACCGGTATGAAAATCATTCCGGTATTCCATGCCCTAGTCTGACTTTTGTTTAAAAAAGTTTTTTTTATTTCGAGCTTTTTAGTGATATTGATGTTTTTATATAAAAGGTAACACTATATAAAAATACTTTTCTCAAAACCGCGTCAATACCGTGTTTAAGTGCGAGCCTCATTTTTTTTTTGTTTGTTAATACATAGGTATAATATTGACAAGGCTGTCAAATACTATGCTGAAAATTGAAATGGGACCAAACCAGAAGCACCAGTTTTCAAATAAAAAAATAAATAGAAACCATAGGATCGGTTCACCCTGTAAAAAGTTTTGAGGTAACAAACATCACACATACTTAATGAAAATTTAAGATTTATATGATTTTCTCATAGATGCCATTGCCAGATCTGGACCATGAAATGGGACCACACGATAAGCAAATAAAAAAAAATCATCAAAATTGATCCACTAGTAAAATATTATGAGGTAACAAACAGAAAACCTCCTTGAGAACCTCCTCTTTTTTTTAAAACAGTTAAAATTGTCACTTGACGTCATGCTTTTGTTCATTTTCTACAAAATTATGACGTAGCGAACCCCGTCAACTTTAATGCCTATCATCTAAGCTATTTCTTGTTAAATTGAAGTAATATATATATATATATATATATATATATATATATATATATATATATATATATATATATATATAAAACTATTAAAAACTATTTTTTATTATATATATATATATATATATATATATATATATTATATATATATATATATATATATAATAAAAAATAGTTTTGTAGAAAATGTACAAAAGCGTGACGTCATGTGACATTCTAACTCAATGTATCGCCGTAAATTAATGATTACATAAAACAAATACCCGTTTAATATGTTTCAACAAATCTACCTGACAAACAAAAAAGAAACAAAAATTAGTCATCACGCCTATACCTACATGCTTGATGTTATAATCTTCTCCACATACCTGTACCCTCTGCGTCGAGCCGCCACCTCCCCAGATGTAACGCGGCCCGATGCGATACGTCACAATAAGCCGCGGACAACAGCTGACCAGCGTAACGACCGAACAACCCCGCCCATACAAACGCTACTTGCTGTGACGACGCGTACACGTCATAGTTTAAGTATGACTGAAACATAATTGTAAACTAAATATTGATGGCAATGGAGTGCGATCTACGCACGTAAAAATGATAATGTTAATAATATTGTTAAAGTAGTTCAATTTATCTAAGTACCTGGCATAAAAGTAAACCTAAATGCAGAACTTTTTTGTTTCTGCATGGGCTTACCTTCATGCCAGGTAAAAGTATATTAACATTTTATTCTGTGGTAGTATAGCTGATGTTCTATGATGCGTGTACATAGATTACCACCATGAGCCCTTTAAGATCACAATTGCTGGGATGTATGTGGATACAATAAATTATAGCAAACTAGTCACTCATAACCCATAATGTGCATCTAATGTGGATTGGTGTTGATTGGTGGTGATAAGTCCTGGCTATATGCAGCAAGATAACCACAGCATATAGCCAGGACTGATGACTTAATATGGTTTTAAAAGTATGGAAGAGTACAAGGTACACCCATCTTATGAACATCTTCTTTGAAAATTGCTAATTACTGTTCCATCAAGCTCTTACATACTTAAATAATCTATGCTCTTGTAAAATTTAAAAAATAATTAATTCATCAAAAAAAAAAAAACTAAGAAGAACAAAGACTTTGCAAGGGAACTATTTTCTACCCATTTTTTAGAAATATTTAATTAATCCATTGTAACATATCTCATTACTGATGTGATGCCAACAACTCTCAGACTAGCTTACCTGTGCAAAACAGCATGGAATGAAACTTGTGTAATATGCTCCAATAACTGAATTAAAGATAATTTTTTTCACTCTTAAGTTGAAATCCTCTCTGAGCACATCAACCTCAGACCTTATTTGCACAGGGTCATGAGAACAGCAGTGCAATGGAGGAGTTTCAGAGTTGTTCAAGTCCAAAAATGGACTTGATTGAAGACCAAATAATATAAAGTATATAACCACCCTGTAATAGATTTTTTTTTGTAAGAATATGCAACACTTTTACACATATAACATTTAACATTTAAAATAGGACACTGTAGATAGATACTTACGGGTAACACAGGTAGAATATTTTGACAAATGGGTATTTGAGCACAATGAAGTATGAACACCAAGTAAGAGCTCCAAGTACTACTCCTAATATGAACATTCTGAAAAAATATTACTATAATAGAACAAAATCACAATGTTCAGCTAGAATTGTCACTCTCAAACAACAATAAATAATTTCTAGAAATATTAATCCGTTTAAGACTACAGAGAAAAAAAAACATTTGCAAAAAACTACCAAAAATAGTCCTTAATTGGAGTGGTTTGCACACCAGTTTCATGGAGGTCTAGGGTCCAATTCCCAGTCGGCAAATTTATAAAACTGACTTTTCTATCTTGTTTTGGGTCTGGGTGTCGTGGTCATTAGCTACTCACTCTGAAATCTGAGCAATATATGTGACTTTGTCTAATATTATTAAGGCTTTAAGGTTTTTTGTTGTTTTGGTAATGGAAAAAAGTATGTGAATAAAAATAAGTTACCTAGCAGCGATGGTAGCATGTGGCAGCAACTTGGGAGCAAGGAACAACCTTAGAATTGCAAGCGATGCTGCCAGCAGAAATCTTCTTGATACTATGGTTACAATGAATGCCACTAGGTGTGGATCTATCAAGTAAAAGTGCTGCAAATGAAAATTAGTTGTGAATATAATTTCAAGTAGATATTAAAAATGCTTTAATATTAACGAAAGCAAAGAAACAGGACCTCTACAACAGAAGTCAACAAAATCAATATTTGAAGCAGTTTAATTTATTTAACCATATTATATTAACATACCATCGCCTGATTAGTATATGAATGTGGAAGCCACCATGCTGTCCTATAAAGGTTCAGAAATTGCAGTCCAGCTGCCACCAGCAAGAAAACAAATGTCATTGTTTCAAATAGTAAAGTACCATCCTGTGGTATGTATGGAAATGGTATATGTTTGGGTGGAATAGGCCCTTCTGCCAACTTTGTTTCTGTAAGACCAACTGTGGGGGCTGGTGCAGAAACAACTCTTGTGGGACGATTTGTCTTTCTGACATGTCCCCCACAATTACTGTCTTCTTCAGTTGCAAAATTCCCCTATATCAAGAAAAATTTATTATTAATTTTAAAAACTCATTTTTACTGTCACATCTAGCTGAAAGGTCTGGAATCATCTTATTCATAAATTGTTAATAATGAATCTAACATCTAAAAATTTAATTTTTGTTACTGCTAGGTATCCATTGTACACAAACAAAATTATTGAACCTAATCTTTTCTAACTAAGAATAAGTGATGAAAGAGAACATGCAATTCTAAAGCAGCGATATAAAATGAAGAACCTTTGAACCTTTTTAGATGAGCTAGATTTCTTAGAACCCGGCGCAACCATTTTGCAGGCGATCGGTGGTAAAGGTCTCTTAACAAGAGGATCTTTGATAATCTTCCGCCGCCTTGAGACGGCTGTTGAAGACGTACTGTTAACTTGAGAATTTGCCCAGCGTCTCGCCAGGAGTATAGTCAGACAGCCGACGACCGCTGGTAAGAAGAATACGACAAAAGGGCTACTTTCATTTTCTGTACAACTCATCACTCACATGTTATAAAATTATTTAACTTGTTACAATAAGGATTTTTATTTGACCAATAATTATATTTTAATGATTTTTTAAATTGCACAAAATCAGATGACAGCAGATGTGACATTTATATGACAATGACACTTATCCATAGATACAATCACTGTTGCCGTTCTACAAAATTTTATGCCCCTAGACAATATTTTTTCTGAAGTATTCGCTAGATATCGTTCAAATTTTTTTGTCTAAAAATACCAAAACTACAGCTATGCAATAACTGCACTGGAGGCCTGATGGCGGCTATAAACATGAAATTTCAAAAACAATATATATTTTGACAGATATAATATTCTTTAATGTACACACAAAAATAAAATAAACAAAACAAATGTACAATTGACGGCCTTATCTATATAAGTGATCTCTTCTAGGCAACCTTGGGATGGAATTAAACACAAAAGACCAAATGATGGGGTAGTGGATGGTATATAAGTACACCAACAGTATAAACATATAATGAGGAAGTATAAAAAAAGAACACACTAAAAAAGCACCCTGAGAGCACCTTGAAGAAAACACTAAGCAAGCAGGAAACGAATAGAGCAAAGATAGTCTCCGTTCTTTTTAACTAATATATTAAAATACTATCTAAGTTTCAATAGAAATACGAAAAAGTATAAACAGAATAGAGTTTGGCAAGCGAAACGTGACACCACCTATTTTTCCGTTTTCATATGGCAACAACATAGAACTGTCAGTTTGACACTACGTTAGACAATTCAAGAATATTGAATTTTGTTGTTTTTGCGAATTTGAACTTGTGTTTTTGGTTAAAAATTATGTCGAAGCCGATAAAAAGTTCATCGAGGAAACTTCTTTCCATCATGATTGACAAGTTTACTGAAGTGAAAACTGAATTAAATAAAAATTTCATGGAGAAATTACAACGATTAGATAAAGTTGTATCTTTTTTAGGTTAGTTTTGTATTATAATTTTGATACTTTCGTTTTAATTTTCTGTAATTAACTAAACAGATATTTTTTATAAAATATTGCTCTATTTCAGATAACTGTGATGGTGATATTCAACCAATAATGGAGGAGATAAATGCAATAAAAACTTTAGAAAAACAAGAAATGCTGAATTCGGAAACGCAGTACTTACAAAAAATTTCTTCAATGACAGGTCTCTTTTCTTGTTTTGATTTAAGATAGATTGATAGTATTCCTATAATATTTACATAGGTTTTTTATGATGTATTGGTTTTTATTGTTGACATCCAATGATGTCATAAGAATGTTTTGTTTAACAAGGAAATTCACAGAATTCATGAAACTAATCAAACCATGTAATTGTTATACATGCTAAATATGCACATAAACTTAACTAAATTAAACATAAATTGCATTCATAGTTGAATAGGTATTTAAATTATTTTGATGTATGTGTCTATCATTATTTGCTTTTAAATACATTTAACATATCTTTGTTTCAAAGTGTTTAATCTTTTATAGATGTAAGTATAAGGACACTAAGAAGGATAAAAAATGAAGCATTAATTAATAAAGGAAAATGGGACACTCCTGGGAAAAAACGACCTCATCAACCAACAGTGTCTGCTTTAGATAATTTTGATTTAAGTGCAATTCGGAATAAAGTAAATGAATTTTACTGTGTGAAAAAAATTGTTCCAACATTAAGAAGCCTTCACAATGAATTAAAAGATGCAATAGGATTCAGTGGTAGCCGTGAGACTTTACGAAAAATTATGCTTAAGAATGGATTTTCTTTTAAAAACAATGAAAATGAATGTTCTATGCTTATAGAAAAATACCAGATTTCTGCATGGAGGCACAAGTATTTGAGAGAAATAAATATAAAACGAAACGAAGGAAAGCAAATTGTGTACCTTGATGAAACTTATGTACATCAGAATTATAAAGTTAAAAAGTCTTGGCAAGGACCTTCAACAACTGGTGTCACTACAAAGATATCCTCTGGAAAACGGCATATTGTTGTGCATGCTGGATCTGAGGAAGGTTTTGTGCCTGGTGCATTATTAGTGTTCAGTAGTAAATCCAAATCTGCTGATTATCATGATGATATGAACTCATCGAACTTTATGAAATGGGTCAGAGAAAAATTAATACCAAATTTAAGTAAGCCCAGTGTAATTGTTATGGATAATGCCAGCTACCATATAAAACAAATCAATAAACCGCCTATAATGTCTAACACCAAAGCAGATATCCGTAAATGGCTTGTAAATAATGGAATACATTTTGAGGAATATCAGACAAAGGCAGAGTTAATGTGTTTGGTTAATGATAAGAAAACATTGCCTGTATATGAAGCTGAAGAGATTTTAAAAGAACATAATCATGAACTTTTATTGCTGCCACCGTATCATTGTGACTTAAACCCAATAGAGATGGTTTGGAGTCAAGCAAAAAGAAAAATTGCAAGCAGAAACATTGGAATACCAGGAAAGGAAATGGAAAACTTAATAATAGAGTGTTTTAACTTAATTACCCCTAGTGACTGGAAGAAATACACTGATCATGTTTTAAATGTCGAAAATGATTACAAATTAAAAGATGGCATTGTTGAAAACGAACTTGAAAAATTTATTATATCTGTTGGTGCAGACAGTAGTGAAGAGAGTGACTCTGATGATTCCTTGTCATTGTTATCAGGTGTAGAATATTTAGAAACAGATTTTGACTATGAATCAGACTAAAGTATTTTTAGTCTGATTCATAGTCAAAATCTTATCTTAAATTTTCTATTGTGATTAACATGATGATTTTGTGACACCTGTATTATGTAATTTATCCATGGCACTTAATTGTAACAAAAATAAATGTTTTTTTTATTGTAATCTGGTGTTTATATTGACTAATTTAATTTGATAGATAGTGGTTCTGGATCAGAGCAAAAGGTTGTGATGAAAATCCCTTAGGAGACATGTATGTGTTATGAACACATTATAAATATAAGGGCCAGAAATCAAAATTGGCTAACATCACATTTATTAAAAAAATGTGGCCAGAGTCGCCCATATTCATTACAAAAAAACAAAGAAGTCGTTGCAAAAAACACCCTTTTAATTAATGACAAATATGAATTTTTAATATTATAAGTGCTGTTAGCCAATAGGTATAACGAATGGGTTAAAAAAAAGATTCGATTTAGTCCGTCAGTCAGATAATAGAAAAATATTGGATACGTATTTTTTTTCGCTTTAATTTAACAACAAATGGCTTAAGAGGTACTATGCGACGACTTCAAATATGCTTTGCAACAATGTTACTTTAATACAGTTTATCGATACGAAATCAAGTGTCAAAATGGAGTCCAGTGGAGAATGCCGATATTGACATTTCGAAATTGCTCATCATTGATAGAGAATACGAAATAGTGATTTTGACACAATCAAAGTGTCTATTTTTTACGGTGATGACGATTCTTGGTTGTCAGTTGAGTTAGTGAATAGGCCTACTGATATGCTGTTAACTGTACAATTAAGAACAGTCACGCTTTAGTCAAATGTTCCAAAACAAATAATTTTAATTGATATCTAAATGTTAAGATTAAATATAATTAATAAAAGTATCAAAATTATTTTGCAGTACTACATTCAGTGTTTACTGCTTAAGAATTTTTGAAATTGCCGCCCTTTTCTTGTGACACGTTTCGCTTGCCAGACTCTATGAGTAGTTTATTGAATTTTGAAAATTAATTTACTTTTATACATGAAAGAAAACCGGAAGGGTTGTCATGGAGAAATCAAGAACGTACCGTAACGACATCTAGTTTGAACGGAAACTACTTTTTTTTTAAATACTTCCTCATGATAGAATTTGTTAATTACATAGTTATGATTATCATATAAAATATAATACATATATAAACATTTAATACCTACAGGAATATTTTTTTACCAGTGCGAAAATTTTTTTTGATGATTCAGTATAGAACACTTTTCCATAATTAGCTTATTTTTTTAAAAATGTTTTTATCCCTATTGAAACGGTAGAATATGGACACATATTTTAAAATAAAACTTCAATGAAAACCCACGCGCCGATGTGACGTGCCCTCGCGTTTCCGCGCACGCCGTCGTGAGTATAACGAGATGGTACGAGTTTATCTTCTGAGTGGTGAGAATCTAAGCGCAATTTGGAGAAAGTATGCGACGGAAAGCATATCTCGTATGCGAGCCTTTGGGATCCGTAACCCCGCAGTCCCTAATGCTTCGAACCAATTTAACAGACGAAGTCCCAGAGTCAGTACCCACGATGCGGCACGTCGCTTTGGTGTGAGCTAGCTCGCGGTATTGAAGCTGCTAAAAACAGCCGGATTCCATCCGTACCACTTTCAGCCGGTTCAGCAGCTCCATGACCTAGACCCAGTACCACGTCGAGCCTTATGCGAGTGGCTTCTACATCACCGCGATGTAAACATCTTGTGGATAGATGAGGCATTGTTCACACGTATGGGACTGTTTATTATGGGACCATGTCAAACGCCGGGATGTAAAGGAGGTACAAAGCCTACAAGACTTAACAATAAAAAATAATAACGCTTTTAGTGAAGTGAAAAGTGTACTAGTGTTATAAATTAATAAAATGACAATTTAATGAAATGTGCACTGGTCTGGACAGATGTGGACTTCATTTTGAACAAATATTAAAATACGGTAAGCAATTATTATTATTGTAGTTAGATATTATTTTTGATTCAACATTATTGTAAATACGTTTTTTTTTTTTTTTTTAAATACACCTTAATGCAGAAGTACCTATGTAACCTCGGCATAACGTTAAAAAAATTCTAGGTAATAAATTTGTTTCTCTTTTATTTTTTTAATGGCCTTATCCATACCAACCAACCAAAAGTATGAAGGGAAAATTGGAATTACTCATAGAAATCACCTCAGATCATGGCATAAAATCTAGTTCGAATCTAACAAAATGAGCGGTCAGTGACCCATGTAGATAAATACCTACGAGTACATACCTACGGCATCGAGCGAGCGCTCAGCTAACGCATGGCGTCCATAAATTTAGTTTTATAATCTCGATTTTTTAGTATTAGAACATATCAAAATAAAAAGTACGTGTTTGTTTAAATTAATTAAATTTTATTTTCACAAAATCTTCGCAGTGGTTTTAAATTATTCCTGTATATATATACTTCCATGGACAACTAGTGCTCTTTAACAAGTTTCCTGTATCATTTATTTGAAATGAGGGAGTATTTTAAGAAAAAAAATAAAGCACTAAAAATGCACCTCACTAGATGGAACTACGTACTTCCATCTAGTTTGATTTTTGGAACTAATGTTATTTTAAATACTTCCTCATTGTAATAATTTATTTTTATTGGTATTATTTAATGTAACAAGATTCACAACAAAACGCTTTATTTGAGTTCGCTGGCACAGGTTTAACTAATGTTTGAACTCCCTATAGTACTCCAAATCTCTGCTATAACATAATGTTGAACATAGCTCTTTTTTTGAACGGAGCTTCCATGTTTATTGTGTTTGTTCACTACTAATGGTGCTCTAATATGTAAATAGCTTTTGATACCTGGTTTATTATATTCTTTGATTTTATATAAGTATACTTATTGGAATACTATATATTTGTAAGTAATAAAAATTGATTTAAAATAGAATTATTAAACGTCAACGTGTGCAAAACAAGCGGTCGTAGCATTCACAGTGATACTCGACTAATCGCTAATATTATAAATCAATAGGTAATACCTTAGAATCCGCTAAATATTTTTTCCCGCTAAAACTAATATTTCACCCGCTAATATAGATATCAAAAATTACCTTAGTTCTAGCGACAAAGTAGCCAGAACGACAACACTGGACACAACCTGTGCAGCCACCTTTAAATTAATTCAATCTAAGCTGAGAATCTAAGACCCAAGCCTTTTTTTCTTTACTTTTTCAAAACGACTATAAAATAAAGCATTAACTCTCTGCAGATTACATACATAAAAACTTCAATTGCTAATTAATACGCTATGTACATTAACGCGCTGTACGCCATTAAAATTCTCAAAAATTTTAGCATACGCATTAATGCGCTTAAGTATTAATGCACTATGAACAATACCAAAAAAGTGCCGTAATAGTATATTAACACAAAAAAATACATCATCTATGAAAATTATAACAATGTCTAGCTATCACAGTTCATGAGTTCACAAGTCAGTGAGCGGGGACGATTTCGTACCTCACGGAAAAACCCATTTCTGTAAGAGGAACGATATCGTACCGCACTTAAGTAGAGCTCCAGCAATGTGAAACACAAGCTCCACAATCGCGACAACTGTATGGGCGCTTGTGCACTACACTGAATTTTCAGGTACGGCGGTCCGATTTTTTCCTTCGAGTTTGTTTACTAAGAACTGGCATGCATGATACAAATTTTAAAAACGAGTTTCTAAAGGAATAAAAAATTGTCTATAGACTTTGACTTTGAAAACGTAAATAGTAATAATAATTTATTTGCTTTTAAGTGAGGTACATTGTAGATTGAAATACAATTTGAGTTCAGCCCATTTAGCCATCCGATAAGATTACAAAGTCACGTTGGATATATGTATGACAAAATTATTAAATTAGAAATATCATTGTTGCACAAAACTATTATAGAGTACAATCATTATTCCTACTTGAAGAATGTCAAAGAAATCAAAATTATAAAATCAATGAACCAATACTTATAAAAGTAGATAATGTCCAATTGAAAAATAAAATCACACATTTAAAGACATTATGACTCAACATGCGCATTCGTTACTTGTTTTTGTAATTTAAATATTCCATAACACCATAAAAAGTATTACCACACAACCATATAAATAGTGCCTTTTTAAAGCTATTAAATGGAAGATTCTTAATGCTAAGATGGATGTTATTAAAAAGCACTTGTAATGATATCAGTTACCACTCTTCATAATTTCTGGTATTGCGTATATATACATTTTTTGTCTGTTTAAAGTAACACATGTTTTGTTTTACGAATTTAGCGACTTCAAAAATGTATAAACAAGGTAAAGTTAAAATTTTTAAAGATTTAAAGAGAGGTATGCAGTGTTCATAGGGTACCGGACCACATATCGCCCTAATACTATTTTTTTGAGCAACAAAGGCTTTTTTAAAGTCTGTTCTGTTACCCCATATGATAAGCCCGTATCTAAGAACGGATTCTACGTAAGCGAAGTACGTAGTAAGAGCCGTATCCCTAATAGCTATCTTTGATAATTTATGAGGAGCAAATAAAAATCGGTCAATCTTACTGCAAACTTTTTCTACCTGATTTTTCCAATCCAGTCTTTCATCAATTACTATACCTTAGAATTATATGGAATCTTCATTAGTAATATGTTTTTTTAAATTAATAACTACATTTTATTTCTGAGCCAATCAATTATAGATATCATTGTTGTTTTAATATCATATTTGTGATCATCTATCGTAAACGTGCTATCCGTTGTGACAATTACTGATATATGATCAGCAAATAGAACGCATTGATGTTCTGTAAGATTAGGGAGGTTATTTATGTAAATCAGGAACAACAGCGGGCCCAAAACACAATTATATTTTTGTTTCCTCACAGATTGGATCCTATTTTCTAAGTAAGTTTTTATCCATTTTAAAGCTATGCCTCTAATGCCACATTGCTCGAGATTTATTAAAAGTTGATTATGATCTACAAAATGAAACGCCTTTGTCATATCAAAAAAGAGAGCCGTTCTATTTTATTGTCATTTACTGATAGCAGTGTCATAATTACTAAATCAAAAACAGCTTCAGTATTCGATTTTTTCTTTTGAAAACCATATTGATTGGACTTTAACATTTGGTATTTATTAAAAAAGGACGTAAGTTTATCATACATAACCTTTTCATAAACTTTCGAGAAGATAGGCACTAATGTAATTGGTCGATAGTTATTTAGAATTGTTTTATTATCCATTTTAAGCATTGGCTTAACTACAGACACTTTCAGTTTTTCTGGAAATGTACCGGATACCATTGCAAGATTTATTAAATATTCCAAGATCGGACTTACTTGGCCTTTACATTCTTTTAAAACTTTAGTGCATACACTGTCATAACCTTCATAAGTATTATTTAACGAATTAATGATTTTAGCAATATCATGTTTGTCAATAGGATTAAGATAAATAGAATTATTCAAGATGTCATTAGTGGGTTCATACTTAATACTAGCATTTTATTTATTCGTTAAATCAATAAAAAAATCATTAAATATAGTTGCGATTTTTCCAGGACTGCTAATAGTATTGTTATTATTTACAACTGAATCTATTTATGAGTTACTATGTTGATTCTGTGTATCAATTTCATCCTGAATAACTTTCCAAGTTTCTTTGCACGTATTTTTACTATTAACAATGTAGTTATTATTGGTTTGTTATTTAGCTTGTATTATATTTATTTTTAATAATTTAGAAAAGTTAAGATATTTATTTTTATTAAATCACAACTTTTTCTAATTCCTTTAGTTATCCAATGTAGATTTCACGTCTTTGTGGTTGTCCACATGACAGGTAGGTTGGCGATTTATAATATATTCGATCCTTTGGTTTGGAGTACTCGAGTCAAAGTGATTTACCTGCTCAACTCTAGATGGCGTGACGTAAGGTGATAGATTTGACAGATTATTGTGAACTTTATTTTCTTTACACAGCGGAAAGCATAAAGTTTTCTTAGCAAGAATTTTCCTGTTTTTTCTTACGGTAATATTTTTTGAGCTAGAACTACAAACTTCAGTTGAGTGGTGTGAGTTTTGAGTAGATAAAAGTGTTTGCAATTTAGTGTTTTCAATCATGATGTTTTCCGATTCATTCTCTGCAATTTGTAATTTTCTTTTAAAACATGATCTTCTTTAATAAATTTTTGCATCTTCTGTTCAATATAACTTGTTTTCTTAAGGTTGCAGCAGGTGTTACTAGCAGTTTGATTGTTATGTGATGTTAAAAATATATCTGTGTAGCCATCATCTGATAGTGAACCAAACGAGTTTTGTGTTGATATATTTATATTTAATTTTTCATCAGTTTTAGACCAACATTTATCACATTTCCAGTTAGCCTTATTTTCTTTCGTCATTAAATAAAATCTTTTGGCGGAGACATTTGCACATTCTAAATGATAATCCTATGAGCAGATAGAACAGGTTAAAAACTCACGATTCCTTATAATTTTAACTATTTTTTTGCCATTTTTCTCCATGTTTAAGTACTTGTTCTTATTTTCTTTTTATCAAACAACAGTAGTCAGCCGTGCTTAATTGCGTGGCTCATAAATGTCAGTACATTTATTCAGCCAGAGATGGCAGCTCTAGTCATAGAAATTACTGATATCTGGTATTATTTGTGGACAGATTGCATTTTTTTTCTAATTTCATTTATTCTCTTCTTTAAGGCATTTCAATTATAATAAAATGATGATAATTCAGAATACCATAATTTCGAATACACACAACCGTTTTTACAGATAACACTTGCAGCTCTGCATTTGATTGTTTACTGCACAAGAATCACATTTTTATAACTGTTAGATATTAATATGAATTATAAAGAATTTTAAAATACGGACTTGATGTTAAGCATGGCACAGTGGCGCCACCCATCTATTTATTGAAAAATATTAATATTTATTTTTTTTGGACTAGATCTGATAAAATAAGTTCTGTAAATATAATTAAATGTTCGTGATAATCAATCATTTCTTTAATTTAAATAATAATTTTTTCGTCGATAAGGAAGTATTTAAGTACAATAGTTCCCAAAATCAAATTAGATGTCGCTACCTATCGAAGTTCTTCTTTAGTTCTAAAGTATCGATGTCAAAAATACTTGGTATCGAAAGAAGTGTTGAGTAACTTGTATTCACTCGTATCATTATGCATCCCTATTTCCTATTTGCTGTGATTCGCTTTGCAGTGGCGAAAAAAAGTCGTCGGTTGCAAAGAAAAAAATAATGTTATGTACACTACTTATATTTAAAAGCAAAGTAATATTAATTAGTAAATAAATTAGGTTTATAGACGTACGCGTTTTATTAAATGATAAGGGAATGTCGTTTACAGTACTTTGTTCATTTGCTTTAGCGTTTTACGTTGTGATTTGGTTTTTCGATTCGTTCTTCAAGGTATTTTAAAAATATAAATTTTATAACATCATGAAATAATCGACACATTTAAGATATGATAAAGCAATTAAATATTTATTTCAGAGTTGTATGCATTATCCTTACTATGCATTTTTGGAAGGAACTGGCTTAAAAGTGGGAATTTTGAACTTCTCTTGGACAACAACAGCATTCAATAGATTCATTTATAGATGGAGCAAAAATCTTACCCGTATTTTGAAAAAATGGTTTACTTGTGGTTATATAATTACGATATTTATATTTCTACCATTTGCCATATGGACATTGATGGCTTTCATATTTGAACATTTCTATGAAACGATTCAACTGAATACTGTACCTGAAGTCAAAGCTATGCTACCTGGTGTTAATATACCCTTATCAGATTTTTGGGTATATTTCTTGTCTATAGGCTTGTGTAGTACACTTCATGAGCTCGGACATGCAATGGCTGCTGCTCAAGAGGATGTTCAGTTAATATCAATTGGAGTATATGTTTTCACAATAATACCAGTTGCTTTTGTGCAGTTAAATACAGAACATTTAAACAGTCTTGCAATTACTAAAAGACTTAGAATTTACTGTGCAGGGGTGTGGCATAATTTAGTGACAGCTTTAATTGCATTACTATTATTTTTCTCTGCACCTATCCTGTTTAACATTGCATATGAGACTGGCATTGGTGTGAGAGTAACAGATTTCAGTGATGATTCTCCTTTAAAAGATGTGAGGGGACTTGAATTGGATGATGTTGTTACATCTATCAATGGTTGTGAGATTAAGAATACCAATGACTGGTCATACTGTTTGCACATGGCACATAATCGTTTTGGTATATGCACAAGTGCTGAATTCATTGCTCAAAATGATGAAATCATGATGGAAACTGTGAAAGAAAATGATGTTGTTGAATGTTGTAGAAAAGATGATTTGTATAGTTTTTGTTTTGAGTATATGGAACCTAAAATAGCAGGTGATTCAGTGTTGCCAGGCCAGTATTCCTGTCTCAGACCTAGGGATATGATAAAAAATAAGTTTACAAAGTGCATGGAAGCTGATGGCTATTCATGTCCTAGAAATAGTCATTGTCTCAAACCATCCATGAATAATCACACCTACTTATTGGTTATTGAAAGACAGAATAATAATCCTGTATTGTATTTGGGATTACCATATGATTTACACAAAACAGTATATGTTGACCAGTATTTCCCTAGGATTGCTTTGTTCTCATTCTTCTCTCCATCACAATTTGAGAAGCTTCTCAGATATGTTTTTATATTTTCTATGGGCATAGGATTTTTAAATGTTGTGCCTTGTTATGGTACTGACGGGCATCACATAGCAAGGAATCTGATTCAAATTGCTGCTAAATATTTTAATAAGAATGGAGATTTTGTAACATTTTTTACTGTTTTTACAGCAGTTGTGGGTACTGGTATAACAGTGCCTATGTTAGTGTATCTGTTTTACCAGGCTATTGTAGATAACTAACTTTTTTATCATTTTTGATGGTATTCCAAAAATGAAGTTTCTATGTGTAATATTATTAATGTCAGTGGCCATTGATGTATTTAATATTTATGCTGTACACTAAGTAGCACTATTTCTTGTATGGTTTATAAGCGGACAATTTGTTATCACTTTTTAACTTTTGTTAGTTATTAACAGTGGTCGGAATTAGGTAGAGTTATTCATGTACTTACACTGATTTCATACAGTGAAAGAATAAAGTGGATATGCCTCAAATCCCGAGATTAATTTTAAAGAGCAGAAAAAAATCTATGATTTTTTAAATAAAGTTATTTACTTTTACACAATTTAAACTAAGAAGAAATAAAGAAATCCCGGGAAGGTCCACATTAATATCAACATTTTGATGCAAGTACATAAATAACTCTACCTAATTCTGACCTCTGGTTATTAATAACAACAAGTGAAAATTATATCTCATTCAAGTGTTTAATTTTAATTTACAAACATGTATCCATCTAAATAATACAACACTTATGTACATATTTCTATCAAATATAAAATTGTTAGCCATTATTCATTATTTAATTGAATAGCTAACCTTTACTTAATGCTATGGAATTTTGGAAATCTTTTAATGATTTCTTTCCATAATACAACATAGTTTTAATTGTAGTTTCATCTTTATGATGTATATTGTTTCTAAAGTCTGTTCGAGCCCAATCTTTTAACTCCTTTTGAGTGTCTTTGTCAGGGACTTGCCTTATTGTGCGAAATATTTCTCTATAAAGTTTGAGAACTTCTTGACGCAGCATAAACTAAAAAAATATATACCAGAAGAATGATTACTACAATTTTTGTGTAAAATACGAATAAATACGGTTTATGGATACCTGCTTTAAAGTTAGAGCTGCCCCTGGTATTTTCGTCATATTAACAAAAATAATAATTTTAATTGAGGTTGTGTCATAAAATTTATGTTGTAGTAAGAGGGCGCCAAAAGTATTTTCAGTGCACACTAGGTTATTTTTTGTCCTTCCCTCAATTCAATATTATCAATATACTTTTTGTCCTTCATAAATATGATTCTTCATTATTAGTTTGTCTGATAATTATTGTAATTTTCAAGCCTTTAACTTTTTCTTTTATTGCAATATAACAATTAACCTCAACTAATCAGCTGGCTGTAATAATAACACTGACAATTGGTTGGTAGGGATACCAACTGGCAATCTGCATCGAGTGAATAATCGAGTAATCATAATTTTTATAAAATTCTGTATCGAGAAGTACTTATAACTTAAGTAAATTATCTGAAAAAAGTTGAAAATATACATAAAAAAGAATGTCAATTTCTTATTGAATTAAGACACAGGAAGAAGCAGTGCGGTTAATGAAGTAGCCACTAAACGGCGATTTTGTCTAAACGGGCAATACTTCATAATGGTCCTTTATTACAAGAAGAACAAGACGATTATTTATTATTACTTAAGCTTAAGCCAATCTTTTTTAATACGTTCGACTTTATAAATAGGGTATTTACAATTAATATTTTTAATCACAATATCGATTCCAATCTTAATTCCAATAGTTTTGAATGACGAGTGAAAATAAGACAAATGACCCGGACAAAAGTATATTGGCGCGAAACTGATCGACAATCAGTATTGTCAGTAGTACTTAATTGATATTTCCTTCTAAATTAATAAAATTCCTTCATCTGTCAAAACGTCCAAAGGTATATCGGACATTAATGTTCTACTACATGTTTGCGCGGTAGTGCAGTCTGCCGTTAAGAGTCACATATTAATAAGACGCGTCGCGCGTTCTTTCTGTGGTAAAAATCTGAAAGCGCCAAAATGACCGACACAGCCGAAACTTTCAAGTTAGGTAATATGCGAAAATTCATTTTATTATTAAATTTTTGCATATCAATTCATACTGATATAACTACAATGACATATTAAACACTTAACAATAGTTACTGTGGCAACGTTTTAATTCCCTATACAAATATCCAATCCCATTGTTATCCCTCTATTTGTTGTTTTTCGGGATAATATATAGCATATGAAGTAGCTTTACGGAGGTGAAAAAAGTTTTAAAATCGGTCCTGTATTTTCGAAGCTTTTTCGTTGCAAACAAATAATACTATTTTTCCTCTTTATAATATTAAGTATAGACGTAAGTTTCTTACATTTTATTACAGGAGGGAGGGAAGGGGTCAAAAACTAGCAAAGTCCTCTTATATAATAAATGGAAAAATCAGCCAACCGGAAACGAGCAAAAAAGCACGTGGTTGTGTAGGAAATATTTATTAAACTGTGAATCCGCACAGACTGAAGACGGATAGACGAACAGACCTTCAAACGAATGGATGCACGGATAACGGTGTCTTAGTAATAGGATGCTAATATTATAAAGAGGAAAAAAATTGTTGTTTGTTTGCTTAAAATAGGCTCCGAAGTTACGCGATTTCCCGTGACTAGGCCCGCGTAAATTATAGTGCGCTAAGTCGCTAGACGACAATCAATTATTCGTTAATTATTTATAGTTAAATAGAGTCACTAGTAAATCGAAAATTCTGCGAACTATATATGACATACACCAAGACTTAAAACATAAGAATCAAAATGCTCAAATAAGTATAAAAACAGCTTACAAAATCATTAAAATATACTTGCAACAAAGCTCTCAAGGCCAAGTATTGTGTTTTGCAGGTTGAAATGGAAGTCCCCCCTGGAATTGTGCATATGAATAACTTTCACAGAATTGGTGAACACTGTTGGAATGGCAAAGACACTGAACTTGATACCATATAAAGAATATCAAATAAAAGCGACTGTGTAATATATATATATATATATATATAAAAGAGTAAGATAGTTACCGTAGGGACGCTTTGCTGGCTTCCCTTCTAAAATCGAAATCGAATGCAAATAAAGTCCAGGAGTCTATGTCCCAAGAATCGATACATTCGTTAAATAAATCACAACACTTGCGAGGATACATTTAAAATTTTGGCGGCCATAAAGAGGCAATTCATTTGCGTTTGAAATGCAAAATCATTTTACTCGATTTGTAAATTAGTGAATGTGAAATATTTTGAATAGGTACACAACCAAGAGTGCAAATATGACATCAGAATGGAATGCACTTTTGCATGGAATGCAACTTATAATTCTTTTTTCAAATTAAATAGGTCCGATTACTCAAAAAAGCGAGAAATAATACTTACCTTACATTGTTATTCAAGAAACTGCTAGTGAAGTCGTGCCGACGTTTTCTCAACTTCAACAGCAGTTTCTAGAATGAGTAACTTTAAGTTAAGTATTATTTTTCTCTTTTTAAAAGTTTGAAGTCGGTTCCATTTTTGAAAAATATCATGCTTTTTATTGATATTGATATTTTTTTATGTACCATTATATATACCACCAAAAATTTATTTTTCTAACAGCGATTTTAAAAATTCTTTCATCTACGGGAAGCTAGTTTCTTTGTTTGGATGTTTGTTCGACAATCAAGCCGAAACTCTTTAATGGATTTTGATGTAATTTGGTATACAGATAGGGTACTAGCGGAATAGAATACCTTTTATCTCACTATACTCCATTCATTATAGCATTAGACAGAAGTGAAATAAGGTTCTTTTTATGGTATACTTTGTGACAAAATATCAATAATCATGTTACTTTTAAGATTGACGGCTAATTTGCTACATATCCACTTAAATATCAGCTGCTATACTTAACTGTTGTCATTTAAGCTAACTATTAAACAAATTTATGAGTATATGACTAACTTAAATGATTTAATAAGTATTACAATAAAAAGTGTCCATCGTAAAGAACCTAAAGAAGCAAGGTTGGATAGTTTCGGCACGATTCTCTTGTCACTATAACTCTACCAAATTTCAAACGTTGCCTAACCCCTTCAAGCGTTTCGGTAGTACAGCTTTTTAATTTTGTCAGACTATTATTTATTCATAATTGTTAAAATCGTAATCTGGGATTGTCATCCATTGTGAATGCTACTGCCTTTCTTGTTGTTTAGCCGTTTTCCGTGATGTTATTGTTATAATTTTGTTGTTAAGTTTTGGTAAATATGGACGATGCCGGTACAGGCCCGAGTGGCCTACAAAAATTATGCTCTAAGCCCCCATATATACCCTCAAACTTTGACATTTCAGGGAGTTTTTCGAATGGGTTCATCAAAAGTCCAACTTATTACACTTACAATTAGAATTTATCAAAACACACAGATAGTTTCAGTTTTAGTTCCATGTTGGCTTGGGACTAAAAGATGAATTTATAAAATGCTGGCCTCATCTCAACTCCGAGGTATCGTAAAAAATGGAAAATTGCCCAGCTCTTTCAGACTACCTAACGTTCAAAGTTTCAACAAAACTAATATAGATTTTTTAAATTTATCTTGAAAATAAAATGTTCTGCACTGCTGCTTCTATGACCCTCTTTTTTCTAATGTTATAGTGAACGGAGTATAAACATTTCCCTAGGGACCACGCGGGCGAAGCCGCTTGCGAAAGCTAATAGACTTAAATTTGATAGAAATTTGTACACAATACAAGAAGAAATCGACGAACCTACTAACATAGAAATATACATACCAGTTGAACATAAAAATTACTTTCTGATTTTGAATGAATGCAAAATATCTTTTGTTTTTTCGCTGATATAAACATGTCATATAAGTAATTTGGTGATTATTGATGAAAATAATATTTTTAATTGTTACCAAAAGAAAATTACTGATTCGATTACGATACATTTTTAATGGGAACACCAGGCCTGTTTAATAAAAAAATAATTCATAAAAAAATAATACATCGCCGTCGTATATAACCTTTTCGATTATGAAGTTTGACAATTATATTAAATTAATAAAGTTATGGACGATTAAGTGGCATTGCAAGGTTACCTAAATTATTTATATCTATCACATTACGCCGGCGCAAGATGATGGCATAGTTATGCTTAAGGTACTATATTATAGATATCAAATACAAGAGTATGTCGAGAAGATAACGATAAATAAAATAATCTTTTAAATAAATAGAAATATATTATACCATAAATCTTGTCGCTATTCTATTTTCAAAAACAAAAACCTTTTTCATTATTATTTGTCCTCATTGTGTATATTATCAATTATAATTAACAATGTGTAATAAACATTTATAATGTATATCCATTACTGTTGTAAATATAAACCTACTATCTATTATACAAATGCACGGAAAGAAGTCGTTGGTATTAATACGGAAAACAGATTTAAGAAGCTAACGAAGCCAGTTGCACAAACGTACATTAAATTTTAAAACCCATACAATTTTGACATTCATTAGAGCTTAAAGGCGTCATTAAATCTTAACGGACGTTTGTGCAACGGACCGTTAGCCTGGCCGCCCGCCCAGGCTTCGCACGGGTGGTGTATTTAATGAAAAAATCACGTTTGAAACCAATTATATTATTGCAGTGTACCTACAGTTTAGTATAGAGTGCATACGCCCTAACTTTCGAAGCTCCGCCCAATCGAGCGCGGGAAAATAAAGAGCTTTTACTGTATGCACGCACACTCAGCCGTCCAATGACGGTATCGCATCAGTCGCGCTTCGGACGTCGCGCGTATGACTTGTGTTGGACGATAGGCGTTCACGCGATAAAATGTTTACGCGAACAATAAAGTTGAACCGCGAAAGATAAACTTTTAAAAAAGATCTCTTCTTTATATTGTGACTTTTTGAAAGGAGTGCTTAAACTTTTGAGACAATGGAAAATAATACATCGGAGGAGTCACCACCTAACAGAGCCCATGTGAAAAAGGAGAACGAAGAAGAAATCAAGGTGAGACATTTCCAAATATTTCCTAGAGACTGACGTGGATATCCGTTTGAGCACCATCATCGTGTTACGACTGTGTTATTGGCAACCGGCCTGTTTCATTTCGCCTCGTAACATTAGACGTCGGGGTCGTATTTTTATATACGATATTTTATTCGATATTGGTCCTCCACAAAGCTCGAGCTGGGGTTACGCCGAATAAATTATCTACAAGTATACGGTTACGATATTAATTACATTTCGCGATATACAATAAAACGCGTGTAATATCACGTTTTCGAGGCCTTTTCCAGCCATTAAAGAGTGTAATGCGATATCTGAAGCGCGCTCGGATCGCTGTAACCAAAGTCGCTGGATGTTTTGATAATAGATATAGGCGGTGTTGTTGTGTGCGTGTGTATGTACGCTACCGGCTATGTGTGCGTGCGGGTAATTTTAGACGTTCCTTTGCTCAAAACGTAACACGAGACCGTCCCAGGCCACAAGCCGACGCTTCAATTTATTGTTTTCATGTGATTATCTTAGCAGTTACGTAGAGTTCTAACAAAAATTATATTGTCGTTTGTTTCGATTGCGCACTGCCTCCTGCGCTTTATTTTGGCGCCACGGAAATAGTTTGACATGTCAATAACCCCATTGGCGGTGACCACGCGTCGTGACGTCACGGGACACCCGCGACGATTTGTGCGCGAGAGTTTGAGGTCAATTTAATTTATTGTATTACCCACGTAGACGACCCAGATAGTTGAGTGCGAGTAATTTAGATATTTTTATCGGATACTAAAAATATTTTATGCGCCGAATTTGATCTCTGCTTTCCGTTGAATTTTAATTTAAATTTTGAAATATTTTTTGACTAAGTATCTAATTTGCTTGTTTATCGGGGCGATTACTGTCTTATAATTCGTGTCTCAAATATAGTATAACACATGTGTTTATCTTTTATTTTCCGAGTACCTATAATCTTCCATATACTGGATTACCTATAATCTTCCCGCATACAGCTATGTTTGTCTTCTTCTCTTATAATATACATCGTAATATGTACGTTACATGACGTATGATCAGTAGATCTTTCTCTATAAAAAAGTTCTTCACTAAAACTTAAATACTCCCACGAATTCACACTAATTTAAAATTCTCATCAGAGATTATTTCACCCGTAACATAATTTTAAAAATTTCAGTTACAACTTTAAAAAATATGTAGGTAAGTAGAATCACAAAAAAGAGTTATCCTAGTCTTTTTTGTAATTCTTATCTTAGATCCTATCTCGTAGCATCTGGCTGGATGGATAGGATGAAACATTTAATTTCGAAGTTTAATAATTTGGGTAGTTTGTTACCTAATCAGAATGTAGTAATATATAATTTATTTACCATAAATTTGACCGTAGAGATTTAAAATTTCCTTATTACAAAGTTCACTAGCTAACAGCGAATCTTTTTTCGTCGTGCCCCGTAGGTATGTCGTTTCGCTGGAGCAAATAGCTACAGTCGCCAGAGTTTAGCTGGAAATAAATACCTGAAATGCATTATGACGGCAAACTAAGCAATTCAAATATTTTTATTTTTAAAGAACACCAGTTACCGTTCTAAATGCAAATTCAATGTTATCAAAATGCATTGATGTATTACCGTCCGTCGTTGCTTGCAGACTGTGGAATACATAACTCAATTACGGAAACAAAACGCGACACGCGAGCGCGGCCCAATGTTAATACACAGAGTTTTTTTTTCATTAGATAAACCCAATTTAAAAGTACTTCAATAATGAAAGGATATTTAATTCTGAATGGTTATAATAAAAATAACAAAAACCACTCGGATATTATAAAAATATAAATGACAGCATTTCGTTTATTAGTAATTTGTAGGTAATTGTTTTACTAGTGCAGGTAATTTTTCATAGAACCATTAAAACAATTTTTTGTCTCTCTGAAACATGTTTGCGAATACACAATATTATTAAATCAGCATAAACGATTAGAAGAATACACTTAAATTGATTTCATTTTATATAATTGTTCAAGTTAATCAAAATATTTATAGTTCCTGCTTGTCTATTTTTCGAAGAACTGTTATTATTGCAAGCTGCACTAATAAACATTATTGCAAGCTGTTATTAAGACTGACTTTATTACAAACAGTGTGTAAAACATAAATTAAAAAAACATACAAAACGTTTTATCCTTAATCAAATTTAAAAACCGGTTTCATCTGTGTACCTGATACAATTTTCATTATAAAATCTAGATGAACTGACATTCAAAATAAGTTTTTGGCGTACATGCCAATAATTAAAAATTACGAAGAAGGAATAAACAAAAAATAACATTTAAAATCAGAGGCATACCTTTTTTTTTAATGCAAAGTAAGTTGTACTACTGTAACGTTTGAAGGGGTTAGGCAACGTTTTGAATTTGGTAGAGTTATAGTGACATGAGAATCGTGCCGAAACTATCCAACCCTGCTTCTTTAGGGTCTTAAAGATAAACACTTTTTATTGTAATAGTTATTAAATCTATTAAGTTAATAATATTTTTAAACTCACACGATTTGTATACATTATAATTATATGTAATCGGGTCTTGTTCTTTTAAGTTAGTCGAATACTCATAAATTTGTTTAATACTCGTAGATAGCTTAAACGACAACTGTTAAGTATAGCAGCTGGTATTTAAGTGGAAATGTAGCATATTGGCCGTCAGTCTTAAAAGTAACATGATTGTTAATATTTTGTCACGACGTATACCATAAAAATAACCTTATTTAACTTCTGTCTAATGCTATAACGAATGGAGTATATATAGAAACATTCATTCAAAAATGACGACTGTCAAATTCGAAGAGATATAAAAGAAACAAGTTATATTATGGTGTGGTTTAACAAAATCCTCATTGCTTTCTCATTGCAATCGGGGGATCATTCTGTGAAACATTTGTAATCTAAAGGCTCTCCCGACTGCAACGACGAAAGAAAAAAATATTGTCAATTTTATATTAAAAGTAAAATATTTTAGCCAGTATTACTCGGGATGATGTAAAGTTTCTCATATACATTCATAATAAAAAACTCACATACATAACCCTAAACGCAATACACTCTATAAAAAGATAAATCATGTACGACACGCCGAACACATGTAGTGTTTCATGCTTAGCCATTTGATTTTCTTCCATTTTTCTTTGTCTTTTTTGGTAGTCTTAATTTAAAGAGACTTCCTATTCTAATAGAGTCACTTTTTAATTTTAATTCAACACCTCTATATAAAACAAAACAGGGAGAAAAAAACAGCCCTTGCTGAGTTTCTTGTCGGTTCTTCTCAGTACAAGTTCTCCCGCCGTAGCTTTGCGAACCGATAGCGTAGCTTTCGACATTCACAAGTGCTTGTAACAGCCTAGCCTGAATAAATAATATTGAATTTGAATGAGTACTAATAATTATAAAGAAGTAAAACTGCACTTATGAATTTCCATGGTCTAAGGATCATGCTACATTATCTGCGGGTGACATAGGTTAAAATTTACGTAGGCAAAGTTGAGGGGAAAAGCTAGTATTTAAATACTTGAGGCAGCTGGTGTTAATCAGCGTCGCAACTTAAGCACTGCTGTATATTGCTGAGCTGAGTAGACCTAATTTTTTAATTATTTATCAGCATACTATGAATGAAATTAGTAATAAACTCAATCATTATTTTCTCTATTCTATTCTAAGCGAAACTTTTAATGTATTAATAACTAATATTATTTCCGCATAACCGTCTGAGACGGTATTGCACTCGTTCTCGTCATTTTATCGGGCCAAGGTCTGTTAAAATTGCACTTACAAATTGTATCTTACTCCTCGTATATAAGATCTATAGTGATATGTGTGATTCGTTTTTGGCGTTCATTGCAGTGTCATATCGCGGGTTTATTTACGGCAGTTTACTTAGTAAAGTATCGTTTAATCCTTGCACTGGTCTTGTAATGCCAAGGGGAAATCCGATCATTTGAATATACATATGAATTTTAGTGTAATATTAGTTTTATCATATTGGGACACAGACAATACTAAGTCGTATAATTTATTAAAATAGTTTGATTTGTCGCATAAAAGAGCCACGTTGTCTTTTATACAAACCGTAATAACTTTGTGATGATAAAAATTTATAATTTGTGTATTCAATAAATAATAATAGGTATCATACTATAAACAGGTATATGAATTACTGAAATAGGACCGGTAGTTTTGAGCTTATTCATACAAGTTGGTCACTAATAATTTACGCTAATAATAGCTGTTTTCTCGCGGCTTCGCCCACGTAAATTATAGCCTATTCAAAAGCATATTTAAAAACCTTTTTTATATATTTAGAAGAAAAAATATAAATAGTAAGAATAATGACGATAATTATATAATGTTATTAATTACAACAATAATAAAAAAAGAATATATAAACATTTTATATTCGAAAATAAATAAATAATGATCCTATCTGATCACATTAAAAATAGACGCTTTGTTGAGCGGTCGTCATCAACACTATGGATTTCAAATAGTTTATAATGTCATTCCAATTAATTAGCCAATCATAATTTATTCTGCATCATAAAAAAACCCTAAATTACCTCTAGAAGGTTATCAAAACCAAAGCGCGTGGTGACGTGCCGGGACAATGTCTTTGGAATCGGTACTGTTCCGACAGAATCGGTATAAGTAGCAACCCCGGAGTTGCCACTACTGTTTAACGTGCCTTCCGGCCTCTTTTCAGTGTTTTGAAGAATCACGGAAGAGTTCGTGATAACAAACTGGCTACGTATTCCATGACCGATCCTTGTGAAGTTCGCAGAGCGACTCGACTGAAGCTCGATATTAAAACGCAGTTAGATTGCTACCACACAATAGGGATGATGACAAATTTTTGTTTTTTTGTACATAGAGTCCTTAGATAATTCAAGAACATTAAACACATATTTTTATTTTATGAGTAATCAAAAAACGGCGATACATTGAATTGA